GCAAAAGTTAAAGAGCGAATAGTTATAACATTTCAGTGACTCCAACTTTCTAAAAATAAAACTAATTAGGGCCTAGATATACCAGGGCATTATAATTCTATTAATAGAATTTACTTTGTTTTGTTTATTATAATGTAGAATAAATAAAACTATCATTCTCAATTCGCTGCTACAAATGACTATGAGACATCGGAGCACTCAAGGAAAAGCTCGCGCAGTCTTACGTGGGGCAACTACCTATTACCATATTTTCGTGTATGAACTACAGAATTTACTCTTTGTACTGTGTAGTAATGGTTAAAGAGTTGTAGTAAAACTACTTTTTCAGCTTAAAAACACATCTAATTAGTATTATCAAACAAGGTTTTCTATGGCCAAGCTGAGTTTGGATTAAAACAACAAAACAATAATTGTATACCTACTATTGTATACATATCTTTAAATATTTCTACTAACTATAACGCTCTTAAGTAAGTCTATGAAAAAATCATAAAATCCGAGTAAAAAATAAATAATCATTCAATAAACCGCTACGAAAAATTTCGTAGCGCTACGAACCATTCCATTGCTACACGAGCGCCTACGGAAAAGCTAGCGCATTTCCACGGTGACGTAACGCCGCGGCTACGAAGGTACCAGGCGCGCATAGAACGCGAGAGGTTCACGGTTTTCCCTCAGACTACGAAGCTAGCAAATAACGCGGGCGCCCCGCGCAAGCTAGTGCGAAATAACAGGGCGGCATGACGACGAACAGGTGGTTATAGTTTCCCTAACTATCGAGGGTGGGAGGGTAGGAGTGACGTCACTCGCCACTGGGGTGCGTTGTTGTGTGCTAGTGTCGCTCACACTAACATCGTGCAATATGTTACACTGAATGTTATTCTATGCACGTCGTAGTATAGTAAGAATTCAAAATAGTTTTTGAGTATTCGAAATGACCAACTTCATGATGAACTTGATGAAGAGTTTCTTTCTCATTTTAAACTATGCATAAATTAACTTGAGTTCTTAAATTGTAGTTCTTGTAACATGCTTGCTAATAAACCAAAATTGGTGACCACTAAGCAATTCGTTTAGAAGGAACTTAAATAATTAGTTCTTAGCCGGACTACCCTTGTACATGATAGTTTAAGAGTCTGTAGTGACAAGAGGCCAGCAAAAAAGTTTAGGACTTTCAACATCCAGAAAATTTTCTATTTGTGAACACTCTGATTTTCATCTATAAAAATCATTGTCCCAATGTTTATACCACAGTACTTACTCTTTGATACTTAGATCATACCATAAAGCTTAAAAAGAGTTATTAAGTAGACAAAATAAATAAACTTTAATAATTATAATTTTATGGAGTAACCACTAGTATAAGTAGGTAATAAACATAACAAAAATGTAGAGCTAATAATGTAGTGAACAAACATAATGAAGTGTACCTTCAAGAAACAAGACGTTAGAGAGAAAAAGAAAAATTTTAGCATCGTATTATACCTAAAGTATTCCTTTGAGGCCTCGTAGCCGTAGCAGCTGTGACGTAGTTCGTAGCTACTACGGCTGCTACGGCCCCCGGCGAGGGCGGGCGGGCGGCGGCGGAACCCTCTTTGCTTCATGCTCGCCTGGTCACAGCTGAGGCAAATGATTCCGTGACCGCCATTTTGATGAGCTCATTGTTTCTTTGACAGCTCTTCGCAGACACTTATGTATCTATTTTTACGTAAGTTATGTGAATGCTCTATCTAATATTGTAAAGTATTTTTATAAGTTAAAATCTTCCAATAGTTATTAAAATTTATTTTAAAACCTTTGATTTTGTTGTCTTAATTTGTTAGTAAAAAAGTTTCCAGTATTTGTTAGTTAAAAAATTTCCAGGGCTTGTTAGTTAAAGTTTCCAGTAATTAAATATTTCTTCAAAAACGTGCTTAATAAAAATCGACAACTAGAAGCTAAACTGTAAAATAATAAATTTGATTTGTCTTCAAATCGTTCCAATGGCAAGATTTCTAGCGTCTAACACAAGTACCTTACCCAATAAATAAGTAATAAGTACATCTATTTGTTTCCATTCCACAATTGGATCCCGCTGATGTGTGTATCGGATCGGTCGATATCTGGACTGTACTAAGGGTTGAACCGGAGGGGTGGCCGATCTCTGCGCTTTTATGTCGCCCTGGTACAAGGGGTCACACACAAACGCTGACGTGTCACAAGTGCACTCGCGAGGGGTGCTCGAGTATGGGGTTAAATGTTTGTGCGGGAGGGAAAAGGCAAATAAGTGCAATTTACAAGGTTTCTTTAAACTAGTTTTTTAACAATCTTTGTGTTAAATAAAGTCAAATTAGGGTGATGATTTAATTTTATTATGAAAGTTACACTAACAAAAATGTATAAAAAATTATTTTACAGAATGCAAGACATTAAATATGTTTTGTAAACTAAGCTTCATAAATAATACGATAATACTACATACGAGTAACTATAAAAATAACTACACAAAGTTACTTTTAAATTCTCATCCGATTAAAAAATATACGAAACAAGCATTAGTTAGCTGAAAATTTAATCCAAATCTCACTCCCACACTGCACATAGCATCCAAATAGAATTCTCATTTGCCTGCAAAATGTTTATGATGCTTTTGGCAAAATTGCAAAGGCGGTTTTGGGAGTGGAATAACGAAAACATGCCAAAACGAGACGCAACCTTTGGCATTTAGCATGACCTTTACCCGAAGGATACAGCCTCCGCCAGGGTTGGCGTGACCGTGCCAGAGGTCGATATTACCAGGAGAACAGGATATACAAGGAAGTTGTTCGTAACGCCGTAGGATTCACATTTTGTCGCTACCGCTTACACAGCCTTCTATTTCCGCCCTTAAGAACATCGGAAGCGTAGTCTCGCGTTTCACTGTTACGTCTGGAAGTATGGTTTGTATGTAAGTAACACAATTTTGTAATTGATGTGATTTGAAATTAAATGATTTAAAAAAATTAAGCTGATTTAGTTCCTGAAAAGAATGTATTTCCTAAAAAATCCTACCGATGCCAAATTCGATTTCAAAATTCTTGTTTGATACGTATGTGACACACAGTGCCTACTATTTAAAATTATATCTTTTTTCCCATTTTTTTCTTGAAAACACATGGGTGACAAGGTTCTGATTTCGGAAATCTTCGATAAGATCCTCTCAATTATTTTCCCCGCCCACTTCTACTTAAGGGCGGCGCCGAGTCGACGTCACATGGCAATGTTACTAAGGCTTCATGAAGCACAGGAGTTCGATGTTTAGAGATTTTCTGCTTTGTCGAGGCTTCCTTCACCGGCACGTGGATTATTTTAACGAAGCTCTTTAATTAAGCACATTCTCAAAATAGATACTCAGACGGCACCAAATTAAAGGTCGAACGTGACTGAACACTACAGAGTTCTAATTTGGATCGTTTGTACAAGAGTTAGTTATTTGTTGATGCTTAACTTTCGTTGTTACTCGGCGAAAGTGATTGGAAAGACAATCAGTATAAGGCAATCAGAATAAATTGGGCTATAAATAAATTCTAATTTTCGGTGTACCTTTTTGTCATCATCGACGAATTTGTGTAGAACTTTCATAAACAAATCAACCAATGCCTATACATCTCTGTTAGAATACCAATTGTATAATTCCGATTTTAACTTTATAGAGTCATGTCTTCAAAAACTATGAATTGGATTGTACAAGTAAAAAATTATATCTCTACAAAGACATAAGACATGCGGCAGCAACCACCACGTTGGGCGCCAAATGTATCAAAACTTTTCGTAGCGCACTGCCAAAATAACTTTTGTGCACCTACCGGCAAACAAGGCTTTAATATATTATACTCCTAATCTAACTAATGCGACAATAAGTTAGATATCATGCCTATCTCATGACTTGAGCAATCAGATGAATATCAACATGAATAATATCAACAATTCAGTTGAAATCTAGAAAAGGGTCCCAAAAAGTCGTTCATATCAAATTACCATACATATATTTTTTGCAAAACCTCTGAAAGTTATGCCGTCTATAACTTTTCCCAGCATCACAAATAAATCTTAAGTAATATCGTAAAACCGCTCCGCCCAAGTCCGCCCAACTGTGCCCCGTAGGGCGGCAACAATTTTCCACGGGCGACACTGGTACCAGGGCCGCAGGAATCGAAGGATATCGAACAGTGCAAGCCTTATCTAATATTGTCAGAGTGAGAAGGAAACAAGGACTTCACGCATGCGCATAATCAGTGAGCGGCTCACCTCGAGTGCAAGCAGATGGGCAAGGGACGTTTTGCTATCTACGCACAATGTCCACAAACTACCAGGCGAAGGTTATTTTTTACTTATTGAATTTCAAAAAATAATTAAAATTATTCAGAGTGGTGCTACCTAGTTGTTATTACATACTGCTACACTACTTATAATAAAATATTGTTATAATATTAAACACATTTTTATCTAGGTGTTCGAAACAAAGTGGTGAAAATACTTTGATTCCGTTTATTCTATAGTAAGAACTTTCGGAAAAAGCCACTATTTAGCGGTACCGATTGCCTATTTTTGTCGTTAATCATGCGACCAACATTCAGCTCATTATTTCACACTGACTCTATCATTCATAACGACTAACTAATAATCAAATAATGATCTTTAGATGAAAAGAAGAACAAATTATATTAGGTAGGTATATAATTATTTACTATAATAAAAAAAATACAATAGACTTATTAAAAATACCTACTAACTACATCCCCCGTTACAAAACTAACCCAGCGCTACAGATTTACAATAATTATAAAACCCTACGACTAACAAGCAATAATTATAGTTATCAAATAACGGCGCGTCTTAGCCAGTGCTAGCTTCATTATCTCTCATTCTGGACCCCCAAATCACAATGTGCGACCTTAACCGTTCAATGACGTACCTTGCTGACGCAGGCGTTTCGTACTTTCATATTTCACTTTACGTAACGGGCCCGGAGCAAGCGGCGACATTTCACGAGCCATATTATTATAGGGGTATGAGCCCAGGGTGGCGTCGCGTACGGCGTCGTAGGTCGTGACGCGCCGCCCGATGACGTCACTGCCAGGGTGGAGGGTGCGACAGCCGGTAGGGCAAGGGTGGATGCCCCCCAGTGAAAGTCGGCTCGACGGCGTCAGTACAGCCTGCAACGCCGAGCGGGCCACTCGTGCCTCATCTCCCGCACCTCGGTACCGGATAACCTCCAAATTCCTTGCATAGCACTGCAATCCATGCATGTGAATGTGCTAGGAGAAATAGGCGACATTTCGAGTGGTCAGCAACTCTCTATTCGAACTGTGAGTTTATTGATTGACATTTTTAATAACATGTTTTGGTCACCATAAATGTGTTTTCAATTCAAAGCTGATTTATGATAAACCAAAAAACAAGAGTAACTAACTCCGAATTAAGGTTTTCTTTATCGTAAATAAATAAATACAAGACTTACTAAAATTTTAACGACGTGAAATGTGCTACTAAATACCCAGAAAGAAAATGGTATTAATAAATCACATCAATATTTTTATGAATCAAGATTTATCTCCAACAATATTTCAAATGAACAGATCCATGGAACTATTAATACACATAACCTACTTCATACGTCCATGAACATAGTGACATAGTTAATTTACTTCCCGTAACTTCTGAATAGAGTGTAATTAGGATATAGAACAGGTAACGGCCTCAAATGTTTATGTAAGAAGGTAATCCTTTGCTAAGCGTGAAGAGATGACCTACAACAGGGATTAACTGGGCCTACGACTCCTGTTAAACTTTTTATTTACAATCTAATTTCAGCGGCGATACACGAAAGCGGCTAAAAATAGCCGGGGTTCGCGCGCTCGAGTCCCGCTCGCTGGTGCGAGTTCTCACTCATAACACTATTTCTGTCTGTAGGAAAGCAATAAGATATTCTACGTGAAAAGGAAGATCGGCGACGGTTCCATTGTAGACAATGAGAAAAGTGCGTAAAAAGAAGCCGGTCGCAAGGCGACAGTGACTCTGGTGCCCGTAGTGTTTGCAAAGTTATTGTGCCTGAAGAAGCGCGTCGCAGCATTCTGAAAGTGAGTACCAATTTTTTGTCCTGCATACAAGTATATCCTATTTAACCTACTTCCACCAGTTTTATTTATTCTCAAATTATTTACATGTAGATTTGATTAGTTTCATGTGCCTAAAGACTTCGTTTACACTAGACTCCATTTGTGCTTTCAGTAACTTCACAAAGTAATCATTCGTTTGTTTAAGATTTCCGCATTCAGTGCCTGTAGATAAGTTTTGTATTTTTTGTCATAGATTAGGTTTCGTGGCAGCTTTTTACGCTATTATCTACCTATTCAAAATTATCAAACATAAATCGAAAACAAATGTGGCACGTACGGTTGGAAGATACCTACTTACTTTCGTAAATTTCCCAGAAAGTTTAACGTGCTTACAAACAGATGAACTTATTTACTTTAAGATACGAGTAGGGAACTCTACAATAGATAATCGTTACAAGTTTCCACGTGTTATTGAATTAATTTAGATCGCTTACTACTAAATATTTATTTTACCACCTATTTAAACGTAAATTGTTCTATTTCACTGCCTACGGCCTGAATGCTGAGATAAAAATTGAGGCGCTGCTAATGTTCTTACGACTGTCGCCCATCCGTGAATCTTTTAAATATTATTGATCAGTTTCGTCATCGATCATAAATAACTGACTGGTGCTCCTCAACTAAAAACTGTCCTAAACATATTATTATTTTGAAATAAACTTATAACTCTGAGGCATGTTTAGGTAGCTCTAAAACCCAGTGCTGAGCGAATTGAGATAACTTTGTAATATTTATTTTTGTTAGCTTTAACCCGCGGTTTCCGCCCTGCCCCGTCTTGAATTTTTACATTTTCCTCACCGTTGCCTTACCTGGACTACGAAAAACATTTCAAAACCAAAATCAACTAAATCGGCCCAGCCGTTCTTGAGTTTTAACGACACAAACGAACAGAAATTATTTTTAATAGACGTTATTCGTAACGCCTTACCGGGAAATCCATTGTTATTTAATGTAAAAGTACATGGTACATGGCTTTGTGGGCCGACGAGTACCTATTTAAATATCTTTTCACAAAATAACCACTGTCAATAATTTTGTTGAATTCTGGTAGAGAAAAGTAGATTGAAGCGTTTGATGAAAATTGTACGGGAAAACAATCATTTCTCATGTTGTTGTTATAAAAACTCATTATTATTTTATTTTATCTTCATGAAAATTATAAAAATCGTAACCCTTCATTTTCGGTAGTCGGTTAAAATGGGTTTTGAAAGATGGACGCGCTTGGAATAGTTGGAATGTACCAACAGTCTGATGTGTTATGTGCTAATGTACGTATAGTCGACTATGTTACATATTGTGTACAGCATTTGATCGTACCGCATGTTGATCGTCAACGTATGCGCCACTCGTCATCGTCGTCCGGGGCAAACAAAAATAGGAGGCTCACATGAAATTATGATAAATAAACAAATCAAACGAATCGTTCCGAAGGCCAGTCTTACGTTGATATGGAATGACCTTTCCAACTTTATTTTGAGATTTCGACTGATATGTCGATGTTCTTATAGCCATGACAGGACGACTGACCTTACATACAAAGCAGTAACAAAGTACATAGTACTTAGTATAAATAGTCAACCAAAAAGAAGTTAACTACGAGTATACTCGTATATTACTTATATCTACATCAGAAGATATGGTAACGCTGGTTTTAACGAGAATTTTTTAAGTGAAAGAACTTAAAATCAGTAGGAATCACTATGTCTGAAAATCGTTTCAGTTATTACCTAAATGTTTTCTTACGAGACTCTTCTTTGGATTATTGAATCTACCGTCACTGGAAGAAGTATTACTTCGTCTTATTATGTTTTATAGGATTGGCAGCACAATTGGCAGTCTCCTTAATGGATTACTTTCGCCAATATCTAATTACATGTAGGTAACTAGTTCGTTCGCGTATTAAATCTGAACTGAACTTTGTAAATTAGCATTCATCTGCTTATTTTTGTCATAGTTAAGTTAGTTACGGAGTACCTACTCCGTATGTACCTACATATACATGTAAAAAGACGTCTGTCATTTTATTTAATTATGTTAAATGAATCATCGTTTTCGTAAACCATGAACTACAGAGGTATTTTAAATGTCTATCTTTATAAAATTGAATAAAACAGCACATATTAACAAGGTATTATCATTTATTCGATATAATATGTACGCAAAATCTAACCATAATAAAACATTTTCTTAAAATAACTGTTGTGGTGTGTGAGCAAACAAAACTGTTAAGGAACTATTAACTTTATAACACTTGATATGTATAATTTCATGTGACAATAAATCAAGGCACTACATTACATACTTATTATGCCTAATATATCACCGTTTTAAGTACTGGAAGACTACATAATTTATACAATAACTTTTATACAAACAATTTGACTGTTTAAACTTTGGTCTAATTTTAATATTTATCTAAGTAATTCACTATCAAATAATTAAGTGTATGTTTTTTGATTTGGCATAGTAACAATAACAATGGCATACCTACTGATAGTTTCATACAATAACACTTAAATAACTGAAAAAATCTTGCAAAATAACAACTTAATACTAAGATAATGAACAAATAGAATTCTAAAATAATAAACCTGAACTGTATTTAATAAATGTTCAAAAAACTTTGTGCTCTTTGTTTAAAACTATATCAAAACATCGATGGTAAATAAAAAGTATCTAAGTAACAATTCATTGTATAAAATTTTCCCAAAACACTTACAAAACCTAGCACCATGTCCATCTATTATTAATACTATTCAAGCTTTAGCTACTAAGAATGGGGTCTAAATATGCAGTAACTTTAGGCCATATTTCATCAGATGTTCTTCCTTCAAACTCCTTCAGAATTCCTTTCTTTTTATAAAACTCTATTACTGGTCTTGTAACACTTTCATATATCTCTAAGCGTTTTTGTACAGCCTCTGGCTTATCGTCAGGTCTTTGTACCAAATCTTCTCCAGTGACATCATCCTTCCCCTCCACCTTAGGAGTATTAAACCCAATGTTGTACACTCTCCCTGAAGGTAGATGAACCCACCTGCTCTTGACTCTGTCTATAATAACTTCAAATGGCACAACTAAATTTAGCACAACGTCTACTGGTTGAACTTTCCATAGGGCATCAGCTTGGCCAACTGTCCTGGGAAATCCGTCTAATAGCCAAGGCTTATTTTGAACCTTATTTAACTCTGTGATCATAAACTTAATCATTACTTCATCAGGTACTAGTTTACCTTCATTCAGGTACTGCTTCACCTCTTTTCCTAGATCAGTCTGTTTTTGGATGTGATCTCTCAACTTGTCGCCACTTGAAACGTGCTCCACATGATATTTTTTCACTATTCGGGATGAAATCGTCCCTTTTCCTGACGCAGGAGCACCCAAAATAAGAGCCTTCAATATCTTCGACTTCACCGTCATTTTCACAGAATCAAGTTGAACTTTGTCTCCTGTGTACTTTGAATCGCAATTAGAGGTTATAACAATTATCGTAATAACAGTTGCGTGGCCTTGCATCCAATATTGGAAACAGAAATACTTACATAACGTTTCAACAATAACTACCAATTTATCTGCGGAAACTGATAATATTCTTCGATAATAACATCTTCATTACTCATAACACTTTCGAAAACAAAACATTTACCTATGTTGTGCGGCAGTGAGTTGAAAAGGACGATTTTCTTCAAATGTTTTAACTAGAAGATAGTTAATTAATTCACTTGAATTCATTAAATATTGTCACTTATTTAACAAAAACAAATAACAAACGAAAGAGAGCTGTCCATGTCTTGGAGAATTTACCAAAACACTGCACCGCCACAGATAACACAGACCGCCGCGGTTCGCAGCCGCCCGATCGAAATGTCAAAGTCCGTCCCGCGTAGATTGGAACGTGCAGTAAGTTGCCGTCCTAAAACGCTCGTATACCTACTAAAAGCGTCCTGCGTTGCTATTATCGACCGAGCTACCCTGATACCGAGTTCGCAGCAATCGCAGCTAAACGATGTCATTATGTGTTTCAGCAGACTGCTATTGATATTTTGGTTACGTCCTTACCTTCTTCGTACAGTTACCTAACATTTGACAATCTTTATCAAGCTTAATTATAATCCTTTGGTAGGTAACGCAAATGCTTACACGCGCACCACTAACTAATACTCGTAACGTAACATTTGATCATTTATCATAAACCGTATCGTATCTTAGAATAACTAGACATACATCTATTTTTAGATCCTAAGTTATATAAATACTTCTAGGTAAATGGATAAAGTTAGATTTTCTTCACGATAATTTGTAGATTAAGGCGTAAATAAGGCGCCTACCTAAATTAGATTCTCAACATTTTGCTTACGAGTCTAGAAATAGATTTTGAAAGACGCTAGTTAGGCAACCTTATCACTAGAAAGCAATCTCTACCGACCAATAGGTACTGATCTATTTCACAATATCTATTTAACGTCAGTAAAAAATTTAACGCGGTTTTTTTTCCAATGGATATGATAATATTCATTTAACTTCCCTTAGTAATGACACAGAATAAATAATAGTTGGTAATGGCTACACGGAACGAATACCCGTACTTAGTTTTTATATAAATGTGGAGTACAAAAATGACGACGCACACCAAAATAAAAACTGTAACATATTAATATGTTGTTTACAAAAAAGTATATTATAGTCCGAGTGTTGTACACATGACAAAGATGTAAATAATAGTTAGGTAATCATCAAAACAAATGCATCTAACATTGTCATAATTTCCAGCATGGCGCTGGTGATGCTGCCATGCGACCTGCCGTGGTGGACCTCGGTGCAGCGGCACCTGAAGCACCTGCTTCTGGCGTCGGCGCCGAACAAGCTCACGGCAAGCATGCTCAAGATTCATGACATGTGCAAGTGAGTGCGTCAATCAGTTTCATATTTTTACCATGATTGCAGTAAGTATTTGAGGCTCTAGGACACAATATATTATTACGGCTGTACCGAAAATTCAGCCTGAATTAGTTGGGTAAATTGTAGGCGAAGTTGTTGTTGTTTCAAATTCATCCACTGGTTTTAAAAACATTGACGAAAGTTAACACACCTTTACTGCAAATGCTTAAATTAAAAAATAATTATTTTTTTGTCTTTTGAAAAAAAAGACGTCAAGATATCGGAAATTATTATTTTCTGAAAAAAAACCACATAGAGTAGTAAAACTCAACTCAATCTAACTACAAAAAGATAAACTTGCATGAAAGTAACATCTTTCTTTACTCACCCAGTATCGGCATAGACCCAGACGATGACATCAAAGATCCGGAGCTCATGAAGGGTCTGGAGGAGTTCCTAGACGAGGAGATGACGGACGAAGAGCGCCGCCAGTTCCTGGACAACACCATCAGGATAATGGTGAACAGAGCACTGCATCTGAAGAGGTGGCGGCCGCCTAAAGGACTCATGTTCAGCTTACAACAGCAAAGTGAGTATGATTATTAAGTAAATTACCTATAATTTTTAGCAGTCCGCGATAACCGCACATTTATCCCAAGACCCGCCCCAAATTGCTTGTGTAAAGATCTGAAACATTATTTTCATCAAATCCGTTCATCGACATCGAACTCACAGCTTTTAACATAAAAATAAATGAAAATTCGGAAAACTTTCGAGCTTTCCAACATTTTTCAGAGGAGATCGAAACGTCTCGCATGGCGTAGACTAGTAGAGACTTGATCCAGATTACACGTTTCGATCACATGTCTCGAATTTTTTTTAACATACCGCAGCTATGCTCTGCCAATATTATTTCGTAATTCGTTCAAAAATGCGTACCTATAAACCAGACCAAAATTTTGGCTTGAAGCGCGCTGTGTATTTTTTAGTAATGTTCCAAAATCATTGCAGACTAGCTTTCCGCTTTCGCAAAGCCTCCAAATAACTCGTAGGTCATGACGTAGAGTCCTATTCCAAAAATATAAAATTAGATTAGGTAGGATCTTTTACTAATTTAGTAGTTTGTATATAAATATTGTCCACTAAAATTTATTTCCATCCTTTGTAGACCATTGTCCAATCTAGACTACAACCCGCACGCGACAAAATGTTACACAATAACTATAAAGCAGTGAGCCCCAAGCCACTTCTCACTAAGCGAATATCCTGACGAGTTTTTCATTAACGATGTTAGACTTTATAAGTAGGTAAAGACGTATTGAAATGGCTTGATTGAATGAGCCTCACTATAATACTATCATAGCAGATTTATGAACTAAACCTACTGTGTGTTCTTATGTTAAAACTACGGCAACCTCACGTGATATCCGACTATTCCAACAATTCATTAGATACATCGTCGTAAATGTAGCGACATTCCCATTGACCGCCCCCTTTGCTTTCAGGTGATGTAACAGAGCTGGATTACAATTTTGTTTCGTCCCTTATTGCTCACGCGTTTTTCTCAACCTTCCCAAAGAGGACGCTCAAAACGCATCCAACGCTACAAGACTTCAATTTTACGCATTTTTTTAAGAATTTACATAGGTCAGTATCAAAAACATACTTATTTATTACAACAATTACGTATAGTGGAGATCACGTATCATGAAATAACTCTTATACAGTTTTTAAAACGAGAAAATGCTTTCATTTTTCAGAAAATCACAAAGGAATAAATTAAAAAGTTTACTTCATTATTTCGAGTGGTTAGATAAAAATAACAATGAAGGATCAATTAAATTAAGTCGACAGGTAAGAAGTATTACCTAAACACCTACTTAATATCTTAATTATTCTTCTTAAATCATAATGCATCAAAAACTATAGCATAAGAAACTTTTTCTAAATTCTTTCGTCACTAATAACCGTAAAAGTTTATGAAAAACTACTTATTCAAATATTCGTTCTAAATAGGTAATGACCTCAAAGCAATGGCTGACAATCGAAGACTGGCTGGAATGCAGCCTGCCACTGTGCAAACTGATGGTGAGGCATGAAGGACGACCGGAGCGGTGCGAGAATGATGATGCCATCAGGATCTGCTTCGCATCCAGCAGGGTTGGGGGAGACGTGTTGGTTGACGGGGAATCACAGGTACCAAGAAATAGTACTGTTCTTTTTTTTAAAGCATCCAAATTTATTGCCACCAAAACTAGGCAAAAGACGCTTACTTTAAGACTCAGTCTTAAAGTAAGCGTCAGTAATTAGGTGTCTGATCGACGAATGAAATACACTATAGTAATTAAGAATACATGTACTAATTAAGAACATATAAATTACAGGAATCCTTATCAATGTTCATGATGCCGGAACTACTACCAGCGATGTTGTCTGTAGAATCGCTAGAGGACAACGAGATTCTGAAGGTAGAAGGCGTCAGGATGTTCAGCCGAATATGCGACAAGAGACAGAAAACCAAAGTGGAACTTCTCGAGCAGCCAAAAACTGTAAGTTTAAAAACTATGTGGAACTCAACTGCTGTGTCTAAAATCAATAACCTTTCCCATATCATGCATAACACAAATTAAAAATGCATGACCGTGTCTAATTATAGAGCCAATCATATTGCTGCAGTAGTTTTAATTGCTGAACCTACCAGCAAATCTATTAAATATTCAATATTTCATGCAATATACTTTTCGCTAAAGCTATTATGAAAATCAATATACTCATAAATTATGTGTTACTCAATAGGTAACCGTGTGTCTAATGGACGCTGAAGACTACAGTAAACTTCCTCTCGGCCAATGGGAAGAAGACAACGTGCTAAGGGAACTAAACAAATGCCTGCTGGCTTTCCAACAGACGCCTATGAAAAGCCCAAAACATGAGAGGCGGCTATCACCAATAGGTTAGTAATCCTACGTTCTTTTATTACCCAAACGGACAACGAAGTTGGTTTAAGAAAACAGTTTTTTTACTTTAGCAGAAAACTAGTAATAATGCTCTTTCTAGTCAAAGAAGAGCTCTTAGAGCTCAGCGTCGACAATTTTGACTTTCAAGTACAAATAAACCACCTGCATATTGTATGATTTCAGGTGAATCCTTCAGCCACACTCCACCAGAAGTGGAAGCTACAGTCGTGATAAAGCAGGCATCGTCGTGCAGCACCATCAACAGTTACAACAGTAGGAGCCCTTCTCCGCAGAACTATTGCGCCGCAACACTCAACCTTAACGATCCCAGTACGTTAACTTAGTACCTATTATACGTTCAGCTACAAATTGTACCTAGAACTAGTTTTAAACAACGAAACTGTCACCAGCAGGCAATCGCTAGATGTTTAGGTCACCAGCTATGTCAAGTTCCGATCCACGATGTCCACAGATATGTTACCTACCAGAGGTACTAAGTGAATTCCTACAAAGTAATTATCAACGAGAATATACCTATTAGAACATGAACATAAAACGCGAATTCATCACCATTAAACCGCAGCATAATAGAGTCGCAAATATAACTGATTAATTGATGCATTCAAATGGTTTGGCACGCATTAATAATGATTCACTTTTACTGAAGGTATCATATCGTACGCGTAGTCATCAAATATTCACTAAATCTTCTTTATAGACGCATGCCTGTGACAGATTCCTGTTGTATTTTAGTATCAGATGTTAATAAAGTAAAATAAATTGGCAGCTCTCATACAAAATTGACGAGTATTAATATTTTACTTACCCTTTCCAGGTGTAGAGTTGTCCAAACGAAAATGCTGGTTGTCCCCGGACGGAAACACGCTTAACAACCGACGGGGCAGGTTCATAGTGCTGGGGTCTTCGGGCGAGTGTCTCCCGGTGACCAGGAGCACGGGGCACCCCAACCTGGACACCCAGGAGGACAGCTTGTATTCCAGCTGCAACTCCAGTGACGACGAGTACCATAGTGCTAATGATAGCTTCGATTATGGTAAGGGATTTATGTTAACTTCGTGTTTTCTAATCGCGTTGTGCTGCTGGCCTCATACATACAATGTGCAACATAAAATAAAACGTAATTAAAAAGGAATGAAAATACATTATTAAAATTTCTTAGCGAATAGTCGCTTCTCAAACTTAATTTTAAATAAACAACTTGGAAATACATTACTAATCGAGATGGGATGCTTCAAGGCACTATTTGAAGCTCATTGTTGTAATTTCCTTGGACTTTGAAATTGATAAAGAGAAACGGAATTCCACAAGGTACGTTCACGTACCTCCAATCGCTTCCCTACGAAAGTATTTATTCTTTGAATAACTCCTATATTCTTTAAAACAAAAGCTAAAGAGTTCAAAAACTCTATTCACAGGTGGGAGCGAAGATGAAGGCAGGGGTGAGAGCGCTCGTCCAAATTCATTCCAATACTCTAAGGAATTGTCAACGGAAGAACGGCGATTGAGTTTCGCGGATCGGCTGCGCGAAGCACTCCGAAGGGAGGCTGAGAACTCCTGCACGACCAGTACCACGGGAGATTGGTCTACAGACAGCTCGAGCTACGCTGTGGGCATCAGCATTTCTGGTGCTGGAGTAAACGATAATGATATTAGGTAAGCATGAGAAGATATATTATGGATCTGTTCATTAGTTACAACAACCATATTTGAAATTCCATGTTAGTCTTTATGACAAGCAAATTTAAGAACCCCTTTGAGTGTCATTTGGGCGATCAAGACGACATTATGATGACATGGGGACAATTATTTGTTTTCAGGGTTAAAAGGGGAGGCTCCGTTGGATTTGTCCTGACAGAGAAAGAGACGATGAGCAACGGGGAACCGTCGCCGAGACACCCACCTTTAGGGAGAAGAGAGACAGGCAACAGTTCGAAGTACAGTTTCAGCACAGAGTACACGTAAGTTTTTGTGTCCTTTTCTTTACAGAATACATTTTAAGTAATTTTGAAGAAATGGTTTTAAAATGTGATCTTTTTCTTCCAGGTCCGAATTAGAAGAAGTTTACGAGCAGTTCAACCAGTGGCTGAACGATCCCATAGTGGAATCGGGAACAGGGGAACACAAAACGCGGGAGTTAGACTCTCGGGACTTGGCTGTGATAAGGTAACTAAAAATTCAAAAAATCTTAGATAAAACATAAAAATGAAAGAATAAGGAGTACTTACATATTATGACGATGTCCATCACCATGTTTCCTGGCTTGACTGACTCTCTTTATTATCACCTTTTCACATATCTCTAACACGCTTCTCTTCTCTGCACAGATCAAGCTTATCTTTCCGTATTCTGCAGATTTGCGGGTTCCCTTCTAAAGCGCACGCTCAGCGAATCTATGGCTTGCGGACCAAGCGGGGTAAATGCTGAAGGCGCTGCCGAGGCAGCTGAATTGTATGGCCGAGACTCAAGAGACCGGACCGGGCCCAGGCGGCTGGCTCTAGCAGCAAGATCTCTGTCCTTGGAACTGGCAAGGCACAGACATCGGTTGGCAGCGCAACTGGTAAGTTCACTGGCGTAAACAAAAGATAGTTGAATGAAAAATAGTTTAGAAAACTTGATAGAGGCATGGTTGCAACGTCTTCTTAGTTGTTAACCTCAGACAACATATTCTAAATACAAACTGATTTAAAAGTTATTGTATAAATTAAACCCTTTAAAAGTTGTTGAATAATATTAGGACAATAAAATAAAATGTAACTAAACCCTGTTGCGTGTCCGCTATTTCCAATGTGCTAATCTGTAAATACCTAATTTCTATCTTCCAGCTCTGTGTATCACCATTAAATTGTTCGTAAAAAACACTATTCACGATTCATAAAGACGAAACATCGCTCCCAATTTGCCAGTTTTACAAAGGCTTTTGAACAGCCATTAATTGCCAGATTTACACTTTTACAAGAACACTATGGAAAATTAGAAACCACATAATCTATTACGAAATACATAATCTTCTAGTACATAAATGTCTGAGTAAAGTTGTGCCGATATTTCTCTCGCTTCAGCTGGCTACACACCTACATAGCGGACCAACTGACCATCATGTTTATACACACGACGGTAAAGATGTTAATGTGAGTGAGACGAGAATATTGTAGTGTAATAATGTATGATTTTGAACCGTCAACGGCCGCGAGAGAGAACCCATTCTTATTGAAACAAAGGAAACAACTTTTGCTGATTAAATGCTATCAACCACGCGCTTTTAGATCATTCCGATAAATTGTCAATGGTCCTCAAGACTCGCGTAACCAATTCGGCTACCATTTAAACTTGGCTTCTGCTATCTCAATATAACTAAATTCACAAATTCCTATGTTTTGACAGAAACGTAAAGTAAGAGAGTCTATACCCGAAGAAATTGTCGAAAGCACTCGAGTGAGACGCGCAGATTCAGAAAGAGAGGCGGAGGATACTGGCTCGAGTTCCTTCGGGACCTCCACTGACACCGCTTCTACCCAAATCTCAAACCCTACCGTTAGAAGGAAAAAGTTGAATTGGATGATAAACATGATCGTCGAAACAATCGAAGAAAACATACAGTGCGAACCCGTCACTATAAAACTAAAGAAACCAAAGGTCAGACACCTGTCTGTCGCTAATCTTCAAATTCACATCCAAATTACTAACAAAACCAACATAACTACAAAATCCATTAATACATTTAATTGTACTTTCGCTTTCTGTCGAAACATACGATTTGTGTTAAGATTTTCTGCATGTGTAACCCGAGTTCTCTCTTACAACACCTGTATGGTCCTTCCAGCACTTGTTCTCTAATCTTTCACCATTTAGAATTTTAGACTCACTGCCGTGAACACATTTGCAAAATGAATGACGGTATCAGAAGTCATTTCTTCTTCATAAGCCAATTCCAAAGCAGCACATTTCCAGGGCACGCAAATATCCGCGGCTACATGTATAATGAACCTGTATCGATGTTGTGGTAGTACGATTATCTTCATCAAAGACACTACACTATGATTTCAATTCGTCTCACCATGTCATAAGTCTAGCCTAGCACAAAAACCACTGCTATACTAGTGTTTACGTGTTCAGTAATAGGTGTTATTTTTCTGCAGCTAAGCCAACTGGCCCATAAGATAGTGTCGGGCGGGTCGTGCCGGCCAGTGGCGACTGGCAACTGGGGTTGCGGCAACCGGCTGAAAGGCCATCCGCAGTTGAAGATGCTACTACAGTGGCTGGCAGCGAGCGTAGCTGGCGTACCAGCGCTTTTGTACTACACTTTTGGCAACGAAAAGCTTTTCAAGGTAAGAAGTTGGCAGTCGAGTCGTTATTTCTCTTTTCTTAAATAACTTTTCTTCTTCTTTACCTTCATTATCTTCTTCTTTATTATAAAGCTTTGTTTAGTTGAACACGCTAGAATTACTGGTCCTATTAGAAAAAATATTTTTGTGCTGGATGGATACCCTAACTATACTTTAAGCTACTAAATATTTACTGATTACTAAATTAAATTTTATTTTACAGCTGGACACGCTAGTTCGCGTAATAGTTGATAGAAAATGGACAGTGGGCCAGTTGGCGAAGGCGGTGCTGAAATTCGCGCGTCAAACGCTCCACGAGCCTCACGTCATCCCTGACAACCACTCGCTATTCGACGAGCTCATCGGAATCGAGAAGTTTCCAGACGACACATAGCGCAGACGTCGACCTTATGCCTCGCGATATAAGGTCCCATAATCAATAACAGAGCTTTGAGCACTTTTTACCGGCAGCTAACATAACAAGGGACGTTAACGCTGGGTTGCACCATCTTACTTTACCTTTAAACAAACGTCAAAAATCTGTCAAACTCCATACAAAAAACACCGGTTACCGTCAAAGTTACGGTCAAAATTAGGTGGTGCAACTCATGCTAAGTACGTTAAACGGGCTGACACCTGTACAGTTGCACAACAGCGGTATACACAAGTATAAGTAATAACTACGTAGAACTTTAACCCAATATTGACCGTTGATTAAAGCATCTTGGTTGTCTAGTCCTGGAGACAAGTATGTTTGAATTAGAAATCTTATTAGCATACGAAACTGTATAAGACGTTCCATTTTGTGCGTAATAGGATTTTTTTTTTCAAATGCTTAAAAAATCCTATAACTTGTCCAAAATTTGATGTTTTAATCAAAGAACATTTTTACTATAGGAGCAACAATAAATAAAGGTTCAAAAATTTTCACCTTGTCATACAAATCGAAGCTCTTCTTGGACAATAATGTATGGCACTGTAATCACGATTAACTCTTCGCTAAAGATTAATTATAATCCCATAGTAAAAAGTTGTTCATGTTCTCGACTTTATCAAAACCCGCGGGAGTATTCTAACGTTACAATAATTTTGATATTATCTATCCCTCTCACACATGGCACAATGCCGTCATGAGGGACAGAGACACTCGAAGTTGTAAAACTTCAACTAAATCTAAAACAAGTATAATATCTACGGAGTTATTACTGCTTCAATGTTGCATTTAAAATCAAATTATACATAATATAATTACGTCAAGTACGTTTATCTCGTTTAATTAGGTATGTGATTTAGACAATCGTGTCTTATTTTTACACAATTTTAGATACTGTTTATAACATAACAACAATAAGCAATATTAGCATTGAGAGTTCAATTTAAATTAGTAACTTTTAAAATATTTTTATACAAAACTATCAATTAAAGTACAAGTGTAATATATTGTAAAATTTATCAAATCTTTGTTAATTATATAAATATAATGGAAACATATAATACGTGATTTATAAATAACTTTACATAAAGTAGATCAGTGCTAATTTAAGACTGTTTCCACTGCAGCAACGCTATAACGTGCTGTAAGCGATTATTGAACACATTATGCAGCTTTCTAAAATCTATTGTATAACTATCATGATATTGGCAATGGCATAATTTGTAAATATTGTATTGTTATTTATTAACCCTCTTATTCATAAAAAAAATATTAAAAACACTGCTTTATCAAATTATAACGGGTATGCTCCGTTATAGCACTGTGGAGCACTGAATAGTGTACGCAATGCTCGCGCCGGATGACTTTTGTCACCGTGACCCTTGACAGTATGTCTCTCGTTTTCTTTTAAAAGTGTAAAAGAGAGAGATATACTGTCTAGGTGACAAAAAGGTACAAAAAGTCACCCGCGCATAGGCTAATGGAACACACCTAAAAGCTTCGTCACTTTCTGTCAAATGTTGATTACAATAAGAGTAGGCGCACACCGTTGATTTTTCGTCGGCCGATAGTTTAGTCGGGCAGTTGATCAGTATGGGCATGTATGGGAGTGCGCACACTACGCCGCACAGTNTAAGAGTAGGCGCACACCGTTGATTTTTCGTCGGCCGATAGTTTAGTCGGGCAGTTGATCAGTATGGGCATGTATGGGAGTGCGCACACTACGCCGCACGGTGGTCCCGATTTAATAAAACATGGACATTGATGCTAGAAGCACGAAATTTTTTTTGATGGTTACTGCTATGATAACTAATAAGGCAAAAAAATATTACAATCCTACGACGTCTATTTCGTAGTAAAAAAAAATATATAGATATTTTTTGTATGGAAGAAATTACGTTTCTGTAATTTTTTCAAAATTCTTAAACGATGTCAAGATACCGATCACACATGTTATAAAACAAGTGATTCTGAGTATTTCATGCGAAGATACTTGTCACTTATCTCTGCGTACTTTTGAGTTATCGAGGGTTGAAAAATCGATTTTTTTATATTAAATATTTCCACGAAAAATTGCCAATATAGACAAAAAATAATTTATACAAATCGAATTATTTAAAAAAGTATCACAATATTGAATATTTGGTGCTCATTTCTTTTATATTTGAGGACCAACAAGTAACGATCAGATATAATTTTTACATCTCAAATTTTTTTTGCGTAGTTCAAAAGAGGTTAAAATATCGATCGATTTCATTTATTTTATGTCTCAAAGAAAGAGGATCAATCATTAAAATAGATGACCATTTAGATTTTTTTATTTGCCGTTTTTGCTAATTTAAAAAGATCATTTAAATACATGCCATTTTTTTTTACTACGAAATAGACGTCGTAGGATTGTAATATTTTTTTGCCTTATTAGTTATCATAGCAGTAACCATCAAAAAAAATTTCGTGCTTCTAGCATCAATGTCCATGTTTTATTAAATCGGGACCACCGTGCGCCGATTCGATTTGGCCGATTCTTCATACAATTTAAAATCGGGCACAACTATCGGCCAACTAAAAATCAACGGTGTGCGCCTACTCTAAAATGAAAAGAGACAAAACAATGTTTTAATTAAACTGAGTTGGGACTAAACTTTTATGAATATGGGGGTGAAGCTTTCATTTTTAGAATAAATTTGAATTTAGCTAGGATCATTATGAAATTGTATTATTGGTCAGTCGAGCACTTTTTGATTGGGTTTTCATTATTGTTGCGCGTACCGTAAGACAACTGACTTAGTTTCACAAGGTCTTCCACAGCATGAATCTCAATGTGTCCAAAGTTTGTTAATTTTGTGTAATTACAAAATACTCAATCTGGATGATGCGGAATAAACTTATTGCGTCACAAATCTGTGTTTGACTTAAAAAAACCTTTTGCCCAAAAACAATAATCGCTGAACCGATCCCGATAAACTTAAGTTAATGGAAAACGATTATAATAATTATGATTTATGGATAAATCAATAAAAGCTAGGAGATTATTAAAATATTTATTAAAAACCTACACTGTTCATTTACATACACTGCGACATGGTTTCTTTTGATTTAGTTATAAAATAATATACGCTACTATTAATTAATTTCCATTCATGCATCATAGTAGCATACATTATTTTCAAATCCTCCTCCATGGGTCTCACTCACGACATACGAAATTGAGACAACTTCAGTATCTTCTAATGATATTAAATAATGACTTCAATATACACTTCAGTTATTAGAAAAAACACTTTCTTCAGTCCACTGAGAGCTGTTCATTCGCGTAATCATAAATGTCATTTAAATGCGGATAATATCGTAACTATTACAAATAAGTTGTGCCGAGATCTGATGATTGGATCGTCTGTTTGACGACAGACTGCAAAATAGGCAAAGCGCTTATCTCACGGTACTTGTTTTTTTTTATGATGTTACATGAAATGCCGATGATTTTGTAAACAGGCGTCGCCGGTCAAAGAAATAAACCTGACCGAATTTAATAATTTTAGACACTTTTAGAATGTTTGTCTGGGTTTTAGATCAGGGAGGCACAGCCTTACTTGGACCAGGGGCTACTCGGGCAGAATATGAGCTAAAAGCGGGCCGCAGAAAATAAAAACAACTGAATAAAGGTTCAGGTTGTTGTAATTTCTTATTTTTATTAGATCGGTGGCGGGTCGCATCAACATGCACAGGGGCCACATGCGGCCCGCGGTTTATGCATCCCTGTTTTAGATTCATAATTTGACCCGGTAGGTAGCGCTGCGATAGAGTCCCAGGAATATTTTTTAACATTCGGTCTACAACATGTTGTTTCTCAACCACAAACGCCATCACATTATTTGTCGAATTCTTTACCGTGGTGTCGTGATTAAATCAAATGAACTCGAAACTAATTCATGAAATTAATACAAATTCATTCGATTATCGATTGACGCGCTTACACATTTGTTGTTTTTACATTGAGGTTGCAATCGTTTACGATATTAGAGTCCGCCTAAAAGAACAGACCGCGCATGCGCCGGCCCATACCTTGCCTGTCGTAGAGCACGTTGAACCTGTTCACTAGCTGGTTGATGGCGTTGCAGCCTTTGGTGATTGTGCCTAGGTACGTCATTAGAGCGACGTCGTTGCATTGCTGTAACAAACAATGGTGTGAGGTTTCACATTTGTGTTGTATATGGATGGATGAATTTAGTGTGAGTATCACTTAAGTACATAAATAAAAGTTGCAATAAGTCATAGGGGACTAGGGAATCGCAGGATAATTAAATAAGCTGGATAAAATAACCTTGTTTCAAGTAACTTACATATCCACCAAGCAGATGTAATAAGCCATTGTCAAGGTGGAGGATCTGATGACTAGGCTTGATAGCAAATAATTTAAGCTAGATTACAGTTATCATTAGATATCATTGATGAACTGTATTCTATCAAGCTCAAGCTGAAGACAGGATGCTGAGGAAATAGCATGTATTGGTCATAGCTGGGCATTAACTCGTTAATCGTTTATTAACGAAGTTAACATTTCTATTAACGGATTAACTTTTAAGTTAACTTTAAAAAATGTTAACGGACTCGTTAACTTCCGTTAAATTATCCTAAGTCCGTGAATCGTAATACAGTACCTACTATTTACCAAAAATATACAGCAGGCACGCTGAAAACCGCGTTCTGACAAGTATGTTCGGGCTTCCAGAACTTCCAGAACCCAAAACAACAGTTTTTGTAACCAGATCACTAACGAAACGGTATAAAAAACGATATTTTTTATTTATTTATTTACAAGCTTTATATTGACTTCACTTGTTAGTATATGTGGGACAAATCTTGCAACTGAATTTATGACCAGTTTTCTTCAATCGATTGAGCTGAAATTTGTTATACTTATGTAAGTACGATGACAATGCAATGTTATGGTACTATTGAGCTGGTCTAATGGTGGAGTCAGGAGGTGGCCATAGGAACTCCTAAATGAAACGGCGGAATCGCATCGAATTTGGGTTCGTTGGATTTGTACCTTTTCGAGCACTTTAGTACTAGATGATATCCAGGGGTCTGATGATGGCGTCAGGAGGTGGCCATAGGAATTCCTAAACGAAACGGTGGAAACTTATCGAGTTTGGGTTTGTTGGATTTGTCTTTTCGAGCACTTTGGTGCTAAATTGTACTGTAATTGAACCAAGGCTCTGAGATTGAGACACTAATAATAAAAATAAAATTATAATATTAAAAAACTTTTTTAAAAACAAGGTTTTATTCTGAAATGCAGTTGTACTAAAACGAAAAAAATAATTGTACTTATGCAATATTCAAATAATTTCGAAAGCTTGCAGCGCAAACATAAAAGAGGAATAAATTCCATGCGCGTTACAAGCTTTCGAAATTATTTGAACCGTGCATATTTTTTTTTTCGTTTTATTATTATCATGTGTTAACGGATTAACGATTAACGTTAACTTGCGTTAAATCTTGCGAAATATAACGTTTTAACGTTTAACGAAGTTAATTTTTTTATTAACGGTTTAACGATTAACGAAGTTAACTATTTGATTAACGGTGCCCAGCTATGGTATTGGTGTAGGCATGTGTGTAGCATATTATAATGTCCAGCAGCAGCAGTGTATGATAACTAGGCCAAATAGAAGCAAGCACTTTTCTCTAAAAATTCAAGAAAAATTTGTTGATATTGTATAACAAAAAAGCACCACTTAAAGTTAAGGTGATGCAACTCAACCTACATGAAACACTTACATTATAAAAGTGTGTGCGGAACTGCTGTGACGTCAGCAGCGGCAGCCTGTTGGACAGCGCGCGCGCCTCTCGCAGCAAGCCTGGGCGCGGTGGCAGAACGCCGTCACGGATCGCACGCACCGTTGCCAAAACTGCCCGCACGCGGGACACTAACATCTTGATAGCTGAGCGCTGCGCTGTTAGATGCTCAGCCACTGGAATTTGAGCCTTGTGTTATTTGATTTTAAAGACGAATTTTAGGTATGGATTTAAAATACTTTAGGAGTTAGCTATGATCTATGATTGACTGCAAGCAAAACCCTGAAGGTTTTTTTTGTTATATGATTTTAAAGATGAATTTTAGGTGTGGATTTAAAATAGTTTAGGAGTTACCTATGATCTATGATTGACTGCAAGCAAAAGCCCTGAAGATTTTTTTTTGTGATTGTATTGCCTAAATGCATCAAATCTAAAAAGAACTTGTGGCAATCCTAGAAGGGAGAAATTGCTACAATAGGACTTGGATAAAAATGTAAAGAAATAATTATGTTGAATGGTGAACAAAAGTACCAAAGTAGACACTATTTAGTGATCCTTTGATTTGGTCACTAACCCAACAATCATTGGTATGACTATAGAAAGGTTCAGAAATATGAGTTACATCATTCACAGCAGCTGTGAGTCAAGAATATTATTGAGCTCTCAGATAATTATTTGTTGTCCACAGATCATGATAAACTGGAGCTCTTAAAAAAACACAGTTGATACAGCTTTCTTAAAATAAATAAAGTCAAAATCTAAATAATGAAACTGCTCAACTATCTTTTGCTGCACATCAGGCGATTATCACACTGCGCCGCGATCCGCGCGCAGACGCGTTGTCAGTGTGTTGTGCCGCGCGTGTTTTCTATACAAACTGAGGTACTTGCGCAGCGGAGCGCGGCGCAGTGTGATAATCGCCTAACACATGGAAACAGTTTTTATGAAGTAATTCTATTTTTCATGTAATAAAGGAAAGTATATTTATTTACCTAAACTATTTAGAGCAGCTTCACCAGATGACACTCTAGCCACATGGTCCACACCAATTCTTTCAGCTTCTTCCGCTGCCAATGTGTATGTGAGAGGGGCCAACAACATGGTCGCTCTGCCATTAACAACATCTATCACAGATTCATACAGCACCACTGGTAGTTGCTGAAAAATAAAATAGGACAAATGTTAGTTTTTTTTTTATCAAGTAAATTGATAACTTCACAGAACAAATTGCTCATAGTCCTGGAGCTGTTAGCAAAAACATACAGAAAAAAAAAGAAAAGAAAAATTGAGATTTAAATACTTTTTACAGAGTACTGACCTCCCCATTTCTTCCTGAGGGGTTGAGCATAAGCATCACAGGACACTCATTGATGTCACAGATCTGTCGGTGAACTGCTATGTCTCGCTCAGTGGGAGTCTCTCCAGTGGTATACCAGCCCAGGAAATCCATGTCAGAAAATACTTGCTTGACTAAAAAGAAACAGATTAAAAATGAGTATCCAAATCTGTAAAAATATTTTTCAGATCTATCTTAGTAAAAAATACTTACACTGTTCTTCTTTTAAGTTGTAATAATCCCTATCTATAATGATGTCTCCTTCAATAACACTAAATACTAATTCAAAAGAGTTCATAACTTCTATGTTTCTGCCTTTCTGTTTGCCAATAAGTGCTCCAATAACTGAAAAAGAGAAAAAAAACTTATATATCTGCTTTCTACAGTCATCAACTTTGTAGTAGGTACCTCAGTTAAATTAGTAATTATAAATCAATTAATTAAATAAAGTTTTATATGATACCTGTTTGTGGTGAACCTTCTTGTGCTCTCAACCTCGTCCAATGCTCGGACACATTCATAATGACCAACGGGTGGAGCGAAACTGTCACCGAGCCAGTTGTCGCGGTGGTGACCACCACACTCTTGGCTCCACCACCACCAACACCGCTGGGGATAGCAGGTGCTGCCGGGGATGTTGGGTTAGGAGCATCTACTGGCGGTCCCGAAGACGCACTCTCTACTTCCACTTCCATTTCAAAATCAATTCTGTCAGCGCTCGACATTTTGCAATTAATTCCTTAAATCTTCACGTAAACAAATTAAATGCGACGTGCTGCTTATTTTTACACAAAACAAAAAATATTTTTTTGTCACACAACCACAAAAATATTTTTTCGCGATGACATTGACAATATTGACATTTTTGACAAATTTGTCAATTTTAATTTTAACCATAGATATTTCTCTTATTTTGGTCTTATAAAAATAGGCTAAGGTCAGAGCTATTCTGCCTAATAATTAGTTATCAACCAATTAAATGACTGCCCCATTGTTGTGGTGTTGCCCCATGCAAGGTAGAACAATCCGAATAATAATCTTCAAGAAGAAAACCTACAGCTTTAGAAAACTAAACACCACGCGTCGACGCTGGACTTCAAGACGTGCTCATGATTTAAAATTTAAACGACTGCAACAAAGTATTTTCGGTATATCAAATTATGTACTCTTTGACGATAAACGTCATTAAATAAAAAAAGTAAAAAATTGTCTATGGAAGTTTCGATAAGTCCACACCAGTCGATTTTGTCGTTTTTCTCGTCTGTAGATCAATTTTTTGGTTAATAATTTTAATACCACTAAAAAGTGATGACACAAGCAAAGATCAGCGTGTTTTGTACAGTATAGACATCCATACAACTTTGTGCTATATCTGTATAATTGGGAAAACGGCAACTGTAAAAATATTGAAGACAGTGCAATTCAAAGTCAGGTCAGCAGTTCCCTATTTTATAATATTTTGGCATGGCATCAACAGTAGCTAAAGCAGTCGGAGTGATCAAAGATGTTTCACCATTGTATTATAGGATTTTGTCAAAATTCCCTCAAAACTTTACGTTTTGTTTTGCATACGGGTCGGCCGTAAAACCTCAAATTGGCAACCAAAAGAAACACAACATGATTGATTTGATCTACTGCGTCGAAAACTCTCATCGATGGCACGGAGCGAACATCGAAATGAACCCGTCTCATTATTCTGCTCTTCGGTACCTTGGCAAAGGCTTCATTGCAAGATTCCAAGAAAATTGGGGTGCCAAAGTTTATTTTAACACTTTAGTTGAAATGAAAGAAGAAAATGTCACAATCAAGTATGGTGTAATCTCACAGAAAGATCTGATAGCTGATCTTCTTGATTGGAATGATTTATATCTATCAGGTCGTCTCCATAAACCAGTGGAGATTATCAAACAAACCAACAGCTCGCAGTTGCAGAATGCCTTGCAATGCAACCTAAGATCAGCTGTTCACACCGCACTACTTATTCTACCCGAATCATTTTCTGAATATGACTTCTATTTTGCCATTTCTAACTTGAGTTACGCTGGAGATTTTAGAATGACGTTTGGAGAGAATAAGAATAAAGTCAGAAATATAGTGCAGCCACAACTATTGAATTTTAGGGAATTGTACATACCTATCCTGCAACAGTTTCACACGTATGTGGATTTTCCTACTGGAGATGCACAATGCCACCAGGACATTCATCCAGAGACCAAATTACATCATTTGATGCAACTGCCCATGGTGCCTCAACAGAGGATAGTGAAATTCTGGAACCATGGAGGTCTGCAACAGGATATGGAAGATGTTCTCCGAGCTGTTGCTTACGACATTGATTGTGCGGTGATTCTGAGACAAATACTCAAAGACTTGGTATGGCAATCCAGTGTGAGGCAATCTTTGAAAGGAATAATGACGGCGGGAGTGATAAAATCAATCCGTTACAGTGCTAAGAAAATAGCAAAAATGTTTTAATTCTATTATATTGTATATAAATAAACCTAACCCTAAGTCACTTGTACAAAATAAAGTTAGTATTTAAATAAAAAATTTTTTTGATTCAATACTGATATCCTTTTTTCTTTTTTTTAGGTTGGAAAATGCTTTCAGACGAATCTAGCAGTGATTCAGAAACTGGTAGATTTAAATGCAGATCCAAACCTCAAGATGATTCAAATAAAAGTAGGCGCAATGAAGATAGTACACGATCAGTAAGAGGCAGGCCTGAAAATGAAAGGTTTAGTAGGGATTTTGAAAAATCCAGAAATGAAAGGGATCGTTTTGATAAACATGCTAGAGATCGTGATAGGAGTAGGTACTCCAGAAACTCACCAAGTAGAAGGAACTCGCCAGGTAGAAGAAGACATTCACCGATTAGAAGAACCTCGCCTGCTAGAAGAAGTTCTCCTGTAAGAAGAAGCCCACTGGTAAAAAGAAGCTCACCAACCCGGAGAACTTCCCCAGCCAAAAGAATATCGCCAGTTAGAAGAAGAAATTCTAGAGAAGATAGACGATCACATGAAAGACCCAGACATGAGGTAGATTCAAGAAGTAGAGCTAAACCTCTAGAAAGAGGTGATAGCCGAGAAAAAAGTAAACTTTCCAGACCACGAACTGCAAGATCACCTGAACGCAAACGAGACATGAAGGAGGAAATCTTGCGTAATATTACTGTTGAAGACAAATATCCTGAAAAAGTTGGTAGATCAATAGATTTAGAATCAATATCTCCTGACCATAGAAGTAAAAGATCAGAAATTTATAGACCTCCTGCTACAGAATCAAGGAAAAGAAAGAGCGAGAGTCCTATAATTGTGGAAGAACATAGTGATCCGTCAGATGAAGTGCAACCAGGCTCTTACTACAGCTTAATCCCTGCTGTGGTCAAAGAAAAATCCGAAGAGTCAAGCGAAATAGACTCTTCTGATGATGAAAAACTCAGAGCTAAGCTTTTAAATTTAGAAAAAGAACTGCATAAATCAAAAAGGAAAAAGCACAAAAAGAAACACAAGAAAAGGCACTCAAAGTCTGGCAAAGAAAGTGAGCAAGATACAGCCACAGTTGAAGTAAGCAGCACCACTGATATTCCTAGTAACACTAAAGCTGAGGAGCTTAACAGTGTGCCAGAAGTGTCTTCGACTCAAAAGAATAGTCAGAAAGAAAGTGGTGAAGAGGGGGAAATTATAAGCGATGATGACTCCCAGGAGCAGTATGAGATAGACCCAAATGACTTAAGACATAAGTTGAAACGGTCAGTGCACAAATCAGATAGTAAGAGGGATGTATGTGGACCAGCCTTGCCTCCACATTTGGATAAACATTCAAGGTCAAAGTCTCCAGTTTTGGAAGGACCAGCTTTACCTCCTCACTTGGACAGGAAACCAAAACATATAGGTAATCCTATTCATACAATTTTGTTCTTTTACATACTTCATTTTAACTAGGGACAAGTCTAATGTTCTTTTAAATTTTCAGGGCCGTCAATTCCAGAGAATATGAGGAAAGTGCTCTCAGAGAGAGATCCTCAAGAATATGTGAGTTCTGATGAAGATATGGGAATTGGACCCCTTCCTTCAGGATCAGAGGAGAAATGGTCGGATGCTCATCGTCATCTTGAAGAGAGAGCTCTGGACATGAAGATAAGGAAGATGGAGGGCCACTCATTGGACAGATCTAATGTGAAGTCCAGAGAACAATGGATGTTGGAGTTGCCAGAAGGGAAAGCTAAATACCTTGGCTTGGAGGCACGCAGCTTCAGGGCCAAAGAGGGACCTGATATGTCAGATAGGTAAGAAATTTTGGAATATTTTAGCCACTGTTTATGGAGCTGTTGAGTATTTCTACCAATTTAGAAGGGTATTCCACTGTAAAAATAATGTATTGTGTTGTTTACCTTTCCAATATAAAATTAATTTAATTAATTATTTAAAAAGCCTGCATTTCATCACTAGTGGCATACTCATCACCTAGCATGTTTCAGATCTAGTTGGACCGACACCCCTGAAGAAAAGGCGCGTAAAGCCGCCGGCATAGCCAAGGAAGAGGACTCCGACGCCGCCCTGCAGAGGGAAGCCAGGGCCCGCGCCATCTCCAGCAGAGATGAGCAGCAGGAGATGGCAGTCAAGTAAGTTACAATGACTAAATAATATAACTTTAAAAAAATACTATGAAAAAAGAAGATCTTTCTTATTCTGCTGAACTTTAAAATAGAACATAAACAATTTAATAATTTGTGCGTTATTATTCTTATTCCTAAACCAGCTTTTGCCCGCGGCTTCACCCGCGTGAAATTTAGTTTGTCACAGATCGTCATAAATTATAGCCTATATGTTATTCTGGGTTATAAACAATAATACTGCAAAGTTTCATCAAAATCCGTTCCGTAGTTTTTGCGTGAAAGAGTAACAAACATCCAGACATCCACACAAACTTTCGCATTTATAATATTAGTAGGATTAAGAGAGCATTGATTTATTTAATATTATTTTTATAGGAAACACAAAAAGAAGCATAAAAGAGATGAAAGTTTATTGGATATGCATCAAAAGAAGTTGAAGAAGAAGAAAAAGGTATGTTTAAAAATCACCTAATTCTACTGATAGTTTACATTAATGACTCATTGTGCCTCTAACATAAAATTGTGTATTTCAGAAGGATGAAAAAGATGACGAAAAGAAAGAACGTCGTCCCTTCAGCCGTGACGTAGATCTGCAGGTGAACAGATTCGACGAGGCTCAGAAGCGGTCTATAATCAAGAAGGCACAAGGTTTGGACTCCCGATTTTCACGCGGCGAAGCAAAATACCTGTAAAATGTAGGGCGAAAGCAGATGATGGATATTGTACCAACTAAGCAACGGCTTGTTTGATTCCATAGACAGCGTGTGTTGCCTAATATAAGCTTCTATTGTGAAATTGACTTGATTAAATTTCAACATTTAGATTTTATTATCCTATTATTGTCGTTTTAAGGGGCCGTCCATAAATTACGTCATCGATTTTTTCAGATTTTTGACCCCCCCCCCCCCTACAATCATCCTATCGTCATTTTTTAATGACCCCCCCCCCCCTTCTCCCAAAATTGACGTCATTACCAGTTTGACAAAATTAAAACACTTGGTTATAGAATCACCTTATATTTTATTTTTTTAATAGATAGAGTGATTCTTAAGGAAGGTTTATATGTATAATACTGTAAGTACCACGGGCGAAGCCGGGGCGGGCAGCTAGTATTATATGTAATACTAGCGGCCGCCCGCAACTTCGTACGCGTGGATCCCGTTTCATCCCCTTTCATCTATCACGCGGTTTAGATTTTTTCATACAAATGTTTTTTCCCGCTAACTCCCGTTTCCGTGGGAATTTTGCAATATCCTGTTGTAACTAAGCTTTAAGTTTACTAAGATACCTGCATGCCAAATTTCAAGCGTCAAACTTAAGCGGTTTAGTATTTTCATATAAAAGATTTTTCCCGCTAATTCCCGTTCCCGTGGGAATTCCTAAGTATCCTATAACCTGCCCAGGAGTAAACCCCCCCCCCTAATTTAGAATGACGTAATATATGGACGGCCCCTAATAATAAACTGACTAATATACAACAAGCAATAATTCGTTTGTCTCGAATATGTGTAAAGAAATATAAAAATACAACAAGCTATCCGTCCTCTGCTTAGAGCCGCGAGCTTCAGCCAGTAGAATAGTTAAGTCAGTAAATGCTGTCTTTTATGTAGATTTTATGTAATTAATTAAGATATAGCTCATACCCCTCAAATAGGATCTCGAATGTACACCGCAATAACGTATTTACGAGAAGATTGGACGCAGGAAAGATATTATAAATAGTTTTTGGTAATAGAATCAGTCAGTCGACGAATGAAATTTTTTGGCTCGTTTTATGAAACGACACTTAAATATAATTTTATTTCAAGTGAGAGCAGAAATTCAAGGTTTTCATGCTTAAAAAGCAATAATGTCTCAATTCGCTTCGTGTTTAATTTTGAGATAGATATTGATTCTCAATTGTCTGTTTGTTGAATTTCAATATCTAGGCCAAATACAGGCTAGAATCTTTTCTCGAGTGTAGATTCAAACTTGAGTATCGTTTCATCTAATAAATTACGGGCCTATATTAAGACTTAGTTAATTATGATTATACGAATACGCTGGTAACGTAGTAATCGTTATGGCTTTTTACATGATTATTATCTAATGCAATACAAAATTAAAGGCGTATTAACGCTAAAGGGAGAAAAACAGAACAATAGTCATAGCGACTAAAAAAGTATTTTAATACTATGTTTCGAACAGTACGCGTCGTAATCTTTTAGCAATGTTTTTATTTTTCCATATTGTTAAAATTAGCCAATAACCGTTCTTGATCGGATCAATGTGATTATTATGATATGAAGCGTATTTTTACTGGTAATTATTGTTACATTGTACAAAATCGTATATACAGAAACATGAAATGTTGTTCATGTAAATAAACTTCTTCTTAAATTTACTTTCATTTATTTTATTTAAACCAAACTGTCTTTTATCGACCTAAAAAATATTTTAATGAGCTCTTTTCCTAAGGTTGTAGCTATTAGTTAATTGTGCCTCAAATTGCCAAAAAATCGCCTGTTACGAATAGTCTGCTAAATGACAAATTAATTTCAAGTTTTCTGACGTATAATGTATGAAAATAAAACATAAACAATTTCGTTCTTGCATACAATAGTTTATTCAGTCGCGCCTGCTTATTCAGAGCTAATTACATCTAAGAATATAAAACAATCACATCAATGATACGTCATAGCTAAACTACTATTGTAGGCCTCATAATTCCTTTACATGACGGTCTTGGCGTCAATCACGTCTACTGCTGACGTAGCGTTGAGTTTTTCAACTGACGGGCAGATCTTGACCTTGTTGGTTTCGCAGCATAGCGGCTCTTCGGCTGTCATCTCGGCGTAGACCCAGGGTTTGTCGCAGATCTTGTAAAATGCTGACAGCTGCGAAAGAAAGATTTTTATTGAATATTTTTCACACAAAGCGCGCCATTAACAATGTTGTAAAGAACTTATTCTACTTTAGATTAAAGTACCTAGTATGGAGATGGTATGTTTAACCTTTAATCCCAAAACCGGCCAAGTGCGAGTCGGGCTCGCGCACAAAGGGTTCCGTAGCAGCAACAGTTAAATCAACCTATCTCAAAAACTATAAGAGATACTTTGATCAAACCAAAAATCGTTGAAAGAGTTAATTAGCATGCATCACCTCTATTTTTTTTAGAATTTTATACCCCGTAGTTATAAAAATAGAGGGGGGGGGACATACTTTTTACGACTTTGAGAGCTGATATCTCAAAAACCGTTCACTTTAAGAAAAATGTTTTTTAGAAAACTTTATATCATTTTAAAAGACCTTTCCATTGATACCCCACACGGGTATGTACATCGAAAAAAAATTTTCATCCCTCAGTTACATGTATGGGGGGCCCCACCCCCAATTCTTTTTTTTACTATTTAGTGTCATAATTTTGTAGCGGTTCATACAACACATATTCCCATCAAATTTCATCACTGTAGTACTTATAGTTTCCGAGTAAATCGGCTGTGACAGACGGACAGACGGACAGACGGACAGACGGACATGACGAAACTATAAGGGTTCCGTTTTTGCCATTTTGGCTACGGAACCCTAAAAATGTATTACCATGTGAAGGAGACCTTTAAACCTTCCTTAGTAACACAGTGGGAATATAGATCCCACCATATTTTGACACTATTCCGCTATCTTTAGTAATTTGTTATGTGATAATAGTTGATCGTTCGTTGAGGGATTCCGCAGGAAAAAGTTCCAAATAACGGACTTCAGTTGCGATGATTTTACCAAAAAAATACATAACTACCTACCTTCAACTCAGTAGCATCCTTCAGCTTGTTACACAAGATTTCTGGTCCCTTTGCTTTAGTAGCTGTAGCTAGAGCGTTGCACAAGCTCTTGCATGTGTTTCCACCTTCATCGTCACACTTCACGATCAGGCCAGGCGTCTGGGACAGTAGAGGCGCCGCGTCCACTTCTGGGGTCGACGTCGGGAACCCACCGCATGAGCAGTTCCCTTTAGGGCCCTCGTCGACGGCGACTGTTCCGCTGAAAATATAACACGGCATAATTAATTGTCTGCTAGATATACTTTTCCAGATCTTCCTCCCTTGCCCCTAATGCTGTAGATCCAGGCTAGGCAGGCTACACAGGAGTTGCAGCAGTGGGAATGAGAGGTGGAAATAGTCCCTTGCCCGTATCTGTGTCTGCCAGATTTTATCCTTAGATTTCGTCCAAGCATTCTATTCCACTTTTTAAATGCGGTACTATTTGAGACACGGAGAAGTTGTGCTTTTTTTTTGTTTTTTTTATGCAAAACAAGGCGGGTATTTGACCGCAATCGCACCCGATGTTAAGTGGGATGATGCTTCATGATGAAGGTAAAGCTATTAACTAGGAATGTAACTATTTTATTACCTTGGCTTTTCTTCGGCGAGGACCACGGTCAGTCCCACCAACAGGACGATGCAGAGGTCACAGAACATGGCCTTGAACGAGGACATGGTGGTAGCTGTTACTGCCTACGACTGGTAAGGAATATGCTTCGGGGAGAACCTTTATATCGTAGGGGCGATGGCGGTACGGTGTCCATGAGTTATAGTTTTGTAGTACTTTTGTTTTGGTGTTGTATCTTTTATTAATTGGCTCCATGTTCTAGTCTTGTCAATTTTATCGAAAGTTAAATTGTGAGCTGATAGAAGACTCAATAAAATGTATTTCTATTAATCTGTCGCTTTTCGCTACTTATTCTGTCGGACAACAACAACAAAACATACAATCTAAGTCTTGATGTAGGTAAGTATAGGAAGTTGGTGGTGGTACGGACCTGTTTTAGACAGCTCCAGATATTTATTTGGTATGGTGATTGCCATTAAAACTCCCGGTAACTCCCTAAAATGCATCATACATCAATAATTTTATATAAAGTATCCCACTAATTACTGATTCATGGCCACCTCGTTGTAATGAGACTAGTATAGTGTTATGATATGAAGAGTCGCTTGTTGATCGTTGAGCTACTTATACAATAAGTCGTTTCCTCGTCGCGTGTCTTTGTTTTGGTAATCATTCGACACGAACGGGAATCGGTGGAAACCATTCGCTTGTCTGATACGTTAATAGGATTATAAGATTACCTACTAATATTCGTTTGTATAGAGCTCTAACCGAAGATGACCTAACACAGGTATGCACACACGTGGTAATTTTACAAAATATGTCTACCAGAGGAGGACCTGCGTGCGTCCATAGACGTAGCGAATAACTCGGCACTCAGTAGAACATTTTTTTTTTACTATCAAGCTATTTATAGTCAATAAAAACTATGCTAACTGGTCAGTGGTAATCAATTAATATGAAGAAATTAACTGAAGAAGATATTTTATTTGGACACAAATTAAAATGAACATGACATCTGAAAGCTTATTTTATTAAACTATTAAATAGATGCTATCTCATTTTATAACAAAACTTGTTTCTTCATTGTGGAAATCAAGTATGATTTATAATATTACTTAGGTTTTACAATGTAAGGTTAAATTAAAACAATCAAATCTATTAACAATGTTTTATTTCATGTTTACAGGTAAAAATACTGGCAGTCTTTAAAAATAAAGATTGATCATTGTCAATATTTACAATATTCATTACATTCAGGAACTTGTGAAAAATGGTCTGGCGTCATCACAAGACCTAATTTTCTATAGGCACTGATTAGTGATTCATTTGTTTTTATTATTACATCATACAAATATTAAATGAAGTTATAGTTCCAAAATACTGGACTGTCCTGTCGATGACATTGACAGTGGGGCGCCACCGTCAATACCGGATCGCTGGTTCAGATTTTTGCCATATTGGAATCCATATAGTTGAACGATGGTAGCGCCCCCCTGTCATTGAGTTTGGTGGGACAGTTCAGCGTGGGTCATCTATAATAGGGTATTTGACACCACCAATCAATTGACGTACTTTTTAAAACTGTCAAAACGACACTCTCCCATAGATTTTGTACGGCAATACTAGCATGTGACGTCACAATTTTATCAACTCAATGAAACTACTTTTTTCAATTATAATGCAACGAAAAATCGTAATTTACAGGTAATTAAAAATTAATTAAGTTTTTAAGACCAGAAAGAAGTGTCTTTTCAACCGACTTCAAAAAAGGAGGAGGTTCTCAATTCGACCCGTATGTTTTTTTTTTTTTTTTTTCTANTTGATTTTGCTAAAAGTCTGATCTGAGAAAAAATCAAATAGGTAAATTATACATTATTTCTTTATTATTATGTATGATGTACTGTCTTAGGTACGATACAACTACGGATTAAGATCGTTTAGTCAACGCAGCGTTGAAATTGTACAGATAAATGCAGTTTGCGCACTCACTACGCGACGTCAAGCAATAAAAACCTAAAATTCGAACGCCAACTTTTTGCTACAACGCTCTTAATAAAGGACCTCTTCTTCCTTTGAATTTTAGGTATACAAGCTTCAATTTATATAGGATATAATAAACTGTTCAGTTTGTCTCAAAATATGTAGTTGTAAAGCGTTTCACAACTTTACAATGACTCAGTTATGACAAGTTATATTGTTTCGTTTGAATAATAATTATCTGATTTCATACTATTTCTATGCAGTGTATTTTTAAAGGTTGGTGCAGAATCGAGAAAAAATATAATTTTTTAACTTTTACAAAATCACCAATCATAGAATCAACTTAAGGGTCAACTGTATTATTATTGATTATGTGTTAATCCAGGGTGTCAGCTAACTCCATATTAAATTATGCTCAGAACTTCCAAAGTTTAATAAACTGTGAGCACACTATTTATTAGTTACTTTAACCAAAATCGCAAAAGTGCCGAAGACGAAAAGAACTCCATAGTAAATTTTATTAAATTCACTCCAGCCGTTTAGACGTGAAAGCATTCACACTCACAAACTTGCGCCTTTATACCTAATGAGGGATATCGTTTTTATACTTAACAGTTGGCACCCCCGGCGATTGACAGGACCTTACTCTACAGTGGCGCCATCTTGATGAGTGCAAATGCGATAGTCCTCTTACCACTTTAGCGCTCACCAGTTGGTGCCACTGTCTTCGCTACTAGCAAGTGACAGGACCTTACTCTACAGTGGCGCTAACTGGTGAGCGCTAAAACGATAGCCCTCATTAGAGTGATTGCTCACCAATATCAGTCAGCAGCGTGCCTTGCTTCTCGTCTAACTTCGCCGCGACGGCCCCCCAGGGGTCCACAACAGTCGAGCGGGGCTCACTAGCGCCACCCACAGCTGGTGGTCGAGCGGACGCGCGCTCGACCACCAGCTGTGGCCCTCGAAGCTCCCATACTTACGGGTCAACTGTATTATTGACTGCTCACTGTTACTTCGATAGTGAGTGTAGTGGAAGTTAATAAATGAAAGGAGTGGACTGTATAAAATTAATTGTCTATTCGGTACAATAATATCGAGACCGTTTAGTGCAAAGTAGTTGAAGAGAGTGCGTCAGGATCGTCTTCTTAGATGTTCGCTCGCGAACCGAACATTGCTCGTTCGTTCGCTGAACGCTCGCCGCTCCCTTCGGTCACACCGCCCGCGGGCAATGTCCGTGAGTAGACACTCACCAATATCAGCCAGCAGCGTGCCTTGCTTCTCGTCCAACTTCGCCGCGACGGCCCCCCAGGGGTCCACAAGTGTGGAGTGTCCCCACGCGACGTAGCCGGCGCTGGTGTCTCGCGCGGGGCTCACTAGCGCCACCCACAGCTAGTGGTCCCATACTTAAGGGTCAACTGTATTATTGACTGCTCACCAATATCAGCCAGCAGCATGCCTTGCTTCTCGTCCAGTTTGGCCGCGACGGCCCCCCAGGGGTCCACAAGTGTCGAGTGGCCCCACGCGACGTAGCCGCCCACAGCTGGTGGTATGTTGGCACGCGCCCGCCCTACAGCTCCCATACAAGGGTCAACTGTATTATTGATCGCTCACCAATATCAGCCAGCAGCGTGCCTTGCTTCTCATCTAGCTTGGCAGCGACGGCCCCCCAGGGGTCCACAAGTGTGGAGTGGCCCCACGCGACGTAGCCGGCGCTGGTGTCGCGCGCGGGGCTCACTAGCGCCACCCACAGCTAGTGGTCCCATACTTAAGGGTCAACTGTATTATTGACTGCTCACCAATATCAGCCAGCAGCGTGCCTTGCTTCTCGTCCAGTTTCGCCGCGACGGCCCCCCAGGGGTCCACAAGTGTGGAGTGGCCCCACGCGACGTAGCCGCCCACAGCTGGTGGTATGTTGTCACGCGGCCGCCCTAGCAGCGCCCATACTTAATGGACTGTATTATTATTGATCACTCACCAATATCAGCCAGCAGCGTGCCTTGCTTCTCGTCTAACTTCGCCGCGACGGCCCCCCAGGGGTCCACAAGTGTGGAGTGTCCCCACGCGACGTAGCCGGCGCTGGTGTCGCGCGCGGGGCTCACTAGCGCCAGAGTAAATACAAATGAGTAGGTCATCTTATTGGCGCACATACGTATTGGCGCGCTCACATACAAACCGCGCTCGGGCGTTTCTATGAAGATGACCTACTCATTTGTATTTACTCTGCTAGCGCCACCCACAGATGGTGGTCGTTGGCGCGCGCCCGCCCTCGAAGCTCCCATACTTAAGGCAACTGTATCATTATTCATTGCTCACCAATATCAGCCAGCAGCGTGCCTTGCTTCTCATCTAGCTTGGCAGCGACGGCCCCCCAGGGGTCCACAAGTGTGGAGTGGCCCCACGCGACGTAGCCGGCGCTGGTGTCGCGCGCGGGGCTCACTAGCGCCACCCACAGCTGGTGGTCGTTGGCGCGCGCCCGCCCTAGAAGCTCCCAATGGCGGGGGCCGGTCGTCATGTTGAAGGCCCCCGGGTAGATTAGCAGGGAACAGCCTTCAAATAATAAAATAAGGTTTTATGCTTTTGCATTCTATTACATGGGTACAGTCTGCTTGTTGCATGCATGAAACGTCATGTACGTCTGGGGTTACCTACGCCATATCGAATGACAAATGATCGAAAATCAAAATATCGAACACGTTTCATCGAACGATCAGTACCTCTAGTACGAAAAACTTTCGAGTTCGTTTCGTTGCGTATTCAAAGTGTCATCGAAAAATGTATGAAAAATTAAACAGCGCCCCCTAGGGCGGCTATAATATAGGGGGCGCTGTTTAATTTTTCATACAAAATTTTTCGATGACACTTTGAATACGCAACGAAACGAACTCGAAAGTTTTTCCTACTAGAGGTACAGAATATCGAACGTTCAAAATATCGAATGATCAAAATATCGAATGATTAAAATATTGATATTATATAATACTAGCTGACCCGGCGAACTTCGTACCGCCTTAGCGTAGAGATTTTCTTAATATTTTTTTCCGTAAGAACCATCCTTGGACTTCCACAAACATTAAAAAAAAAGAATTATCGAAATCGGTTCAGCCGTTCACACGTGATGCCGTGACAACGCGAAACGGGTTTCATTTTTATATATATAGATAGATACATATTTTTTATTTTCCACTATAAGGTACCATAGTCAACAAGGAACCCTTACCTCCATCTTCCTTTTATACTATGCAGCCTAAGATCGACTTTCGATATTTTAATCATTCGATATTTTGATCGTTCGATATTTTGATCATTCGATATTCTGATCGTTCGATGAAACGTGTTCGATATTTTGATTTTCGATCATTTGTCATTCGATATGGCGTAGGTGGTAACCCGTACGTCTGTGATAACACAGTCGAAACATCAAGCTGTAAGTACCTACTCATAATAAAGTCAATAAAGCATTATAGAGGGAAATGCGTAAAACAGTGACATGACTACTATGAACCATAAAAAGCTTATTAAATTTGCTACAGGTGAGATAGTCAAGTTTTTCTATACATATCTCGTAGTTTTCGAGGCATCTTCTCTAGAAGGTCTGTAATATTGGAAATTTTAATTTTGTCTCACATTTTCCCATCCTGAGGAAATCGACTAAATCAACATTGAACAAACATTATAGTATAGACATGCGAGAGCATGTTAAGCCTAGTTTCAGCGAGGAGACTGCACCGGGCGTATATGTAGAAATAGGAAATTGATTGCGCTAACCTTCTTGTGCCATGATGTGCGACATCTCGCCGAAGCGCAGGTCGTAGCAGATGCCGAGCCCGATCTTGACGCCGTTGAATTCGAACGTGGTGATCTGGTCTCCAGCCGAAAGGACTTCGGACTCTTTGAACGTTATCTTGTTCGGAATATCTATGTCGAATAGGTGTACCTGCAAGTTATTTGTTTATTTCAAAAGTTAACACTTAAATTTGGGAATGGTAGGGTCTTAGTATTGGGAATAGGAGGAGAATATTAAATCACTTCGAGACTGATTGTTCTTTAGTCGACTAGTAAGTTTGGCATTTAGCTTAAGCGCAGACCACCAATTTTTTGTCAGCCGATAGTTGGGCCCGATTTTAGTTGGTGTGAGAATCAAATCGGTGTAGGTAATGTGCACACTTCCATACATGTCCATATTGATTAACTGCCCGACTAAATTATCGGCCGACGAAAAATCGGAGATCTGCGCCTAGGCTTACACAGCGCCCCTGGTGACGTCATCTACGATCTACGATATACGAGTGTAAAAAAGGAGTTAGAAATGGTTTCACCACAGCTATTGTCCAACTGTAGAAGGGGGGCGAACAACTAAGGCTAAGGCCCGGTTTCTTCCACCAAAGCGGAGCGGAGAAGAGCGTAGCGGTGTGGAGACGAGATGTGTAAGCTGTGCGCAGCTGTGAGCTGCTCACACATCTCCGCAACGCTCCGCTATGGTGTCAACCGGGCCTAACCCTGGGACTGCCCGACACTGCCACAGTTATGTTATTGTCGCCTTTATTTCTCCAGCATTACAATATACCTTCATATGCTGAGCCAGCAGCTTCCCGCTAGCGTCCCACACGGTGCAGGTGTTGTAGAGGTCACCGCCGACTCGCTTGGGCACGGTGCCGCCCACCAAGCACACGCCGTTCTCGGCCACCCGGGACAGAGCGGGCACGTATCCCGCAAGGAACCGCTCTATCTTCTTACGCTACCCACCACTATACAGTATACTCTTACCTTTCTGTGCTGAGCCAATAGCTTCCCGCTAGCGTCCCACACGGTGCAGGTGTTGTAAAGGTCACCGCCGACTCGCTTGGGCACGGTGCCGCCCACCACGCAAACACCGTTCACAGCCGCCGCCCGGGTCAGAGCGGGCACGTATCCCAGAAGGAACAGATCTTTTTTTTTTATCCACAACGAGGAAGCTCTTGGCCTGTATCTCACCTGATGGTAAGTGACGATCAGGCCGAAGGTGGAAGCGAGCTTCACCCGAAATCCTCAACTACGGAGGAATTGGCTTTCTTACCTGTAACTGCCAGAACACAATAATGCTGTTAACATTATTGTTATGGCGACAGACTTAGGTAAGATGGTGGTAGCTAGCCAGGCGGACTTAGAACAAACCCTACCACCAACCAAACCGAACAGAAAAATCAGCCCCCACTGGGAATCGAAGCCGGGACCTCTGCGTCTGAAGCAGGTGGTCCTACCACTAGACCACAGAGGCTGTTAAGATGATCTTCCTTCTTACTCTGCCCACGCACTATACCTACCTTCTTGTGCTGAGCTAGTAGTTTCCCGCTGGCGTCCCACACAGTACAGGTGTTGTAAAGGTCACCGCCGACTCGCTTGGGCACGGTGCCGCCCACCAAGCACACGCCGTTCTCGGCCTACCGGGACAGAGCGGGCACGTATCCCGCAAGGAACCGCTCTATCTTCTTACGCTACCCACCACTATACAGTATACTCTTACCTTCCTATGCTGAGCCAGTAGCTTCCCGGTGGCGTCCCACACAGTACAGGTGTTGTAAAGGTCGCCGCCCACTCGCTCGGGCACGGTGCCGCCCACCATGCAAACACCGTTCACAGCCGCCGCCCGGGTCAGAGCGGGCACGTATCCCAGAAGGAACCGATCTTTTTTTTTTATCCACAACGAGGAAGCTCTTGGCCTGTATCTCACCTGATGGTAAGTGACGATCAGGCCGAAGGTGGAAGCGAGCTTCACCCGAAATCCTCAACTACGGAGGAATTGGCTTTCTTACCTGTAACTGCCAGAACACAATAATGCTGTTAACATTATTGTTATGGTGACAGACTTAGGTAAGATGGTGGTAGCTAGCCAGGCGGACTTAGAACAAGCCCTACCACCAACCAAACCGAACAGAAAAATCTGCCTCCACTGGGAATCGAAGCCGGGACCTCTGCGTCTGAAGCAGGTGGTCTTACCACTAGACCACAGAGGCTGTTAAGATGATCGTCCTTCTTACGCTGCTCACGCACTATACCTACCTTCCTGTGCTGAGCTAGTAGTTTCCCGCTGGCGTCCCACACGGTGCAGGTGTTGTAAAGGTCACCGCCGACTCGCTCGGGCACGGTGCCGCCCACCACGCAAACACCGTTTTCGGCCGCCGCCCGGGATAGAGCGCGGCATGTTTCCCCAGAAGGCACTTCCTCTGCATACTCGTCGAAGAATTCTACAACATTTTACGATGTTTGGAACTGTGCACGCATTTTTTAACCCTTAGGAGCACCACACATCGAACGTTTCGCTACGTGTCAACGTATCGCCTGGCAATTTTACCACACTGCGTCGCTTGGTGTATGCTCAATTATTTCACTAGTTTTCATCTACATTTTAGAGCATGAAGTTGAAAATGACTGGTGTCTTAATTATGCTTATCAATATTTTATTTTGTATTGTCAATTAAGTGTGGTGTAAAATTTCAGAGAACCAATCTATCTATTATTACGACTTAGACGGGGTCTCTAAGCTTTGAGGCCTTGGGGCCTTAATATTTTTTCGGTATGTTGCAAGGGCCATAACAATTTTTCTGCCCACCTATACAAACATAGGCTTAGTCACGGCTTACGTCTTAAGCTATCACGGGCCAAATTGATGGCAGTGGCGGGTCGGATATGGCCCGCGGGCCGTAGTTTGGAGACCCCTGACTTAGACGATGCATCAGGGTTTAAAAAGTGTATTATTATAATATCGCAACACAATAAGTCAGGCAAAATAATTACTTACTGGTCCCATAAGGCGAGTTGAAACACTCCGGCAAGGCCACAAGTTGCGCGCCATCTTTCTTGGCCTTGTGGATCTCCTTGACGGCGGCCGCCACGTTCTTGGCTTTGTCCGGGCCCACCGCCATCTGCACCAGAGCTATCTTCAAGCCTAGAACCAGTTCAAAAGATTATGTTTATTATTACATCTACAAAAAGATACAAATTGCAAAATACAATGAGAATATTATGACAAGCTTTTGTTCCTTATAATGAAAGAGACAAAAAGATGTTTTATCACTTACAAGATTTCTTATTTTTTTTACCCATGGTTGCAAACTAATTAATTTATTAAAATTGAGAACTTCAGCAATATAACAATGTTTGATATTTAAAGCTTTAAATGTACCAGTCTGTCTGTATATTCACTAGTAAGTGTCTAATAATACAATAACCTTCTATTTATAAAACTCCTTATGTTTACAAGCCTATTGCTGATGATTACACTCATATCTACACAGAGTTAAGTTAAAGTAATTATGTAATGATTATTACTATTATGTAGTATTGTTACTTAATTAGATATTAACATTTCTTAGCTTTATTATAAAGAACTTAAGCATGAACAGTTTGATTTTTTTAAGTTATTTATAATTGTTAGTTGTAATTTTTAAACATTATACAAGAATTTGAATGAAGTAAAAACTGTCAAAACCTAGAATACTAGGCCAAGTAATAGTCCTCAATTTCATTGCTTATGTAACATACAGTGCTCAGCACATAAGTATGTTAAGTATATTTCTATGTTATTTTGATATAGGTAAGCCTGTCTGTCGACTTTGGCATTATTATTAGTGTTGGTAAAAAAAAAAATTTTTGAAAAAGTAATTTTGCTTAGTTAAGTAATTGCTAAGTAATAATAAGTAATGATTATAGATATGAGTGTAAGTGTAAACATTTGAATTGAGAATGAACTGGTCTGGTATCTTAGTTTACATTAAGATAAGTCTCCTCTTATCTTTAAATAACAAAACTAGGCTCAATTACTGAAACAATGAATAAGTTAATGAAAATACTTTATCTGACTCATAATGTATGATATTATCATTTATTAGGCTTCGCATAAAAATGATCTTAGATATCTAATTATTGCGCAATTAATATGTAATAAGATTTATAACTTTAAAAATGTTTTTCTAACCTCGAAGTTTTCAAGAACAGTAAACAAACATAAAGCAATGAGCTACAGATTTAAACGTAACAATATTATTAGGAAACATTCTTCACGTAAATAAATTAATAAATACCACCTCCAACGCTGCCTCCTCCACCAACGACGGGGGGATTCTTCCTAAACCGCCAGTGCACCGCGTCAGTAGAAGTAAGATCACACATATTGACAAACACGCAACTAAACGAGAGCTATTCTAATATATCTAGTATCAAATTTTACCTCTTTTGAGCATATTTCTGATTAGTTATACAGATAAAAGGATTTATTATCACAGTTTATCACAAAAACAAACTTTCTGAAACTGAAGAGGAAATAGAAAAACTTCGGCAAATGACAATGTCACAATGACAGTCAGCTGATGATAATATTAGTTATGAAATAAAAGCAAAGACGTAAAGGATTATACTCAATGATATTATAGAACTTTTGTTTTTATATAATATCATTGATTATACTATTTACTATTTTTGCGAAACATTTTAAAATAAAAAAATATTCTATAAATATATTATGCGTTTTTTATAAAAGGGTGAGCTTTTTTTTACTGACATGCTTGCAATTTATATTTGTTTCATTTTTTAGGGGTAGTAGGTTAGAGGCTGCCTCGCTGCCTCCCATAGCATAGCAGTCTGCTTGATTCACTTCACTCTGGGACATTCTGTATATTATTCCCGCGGTTCCGTTTAGTTTAAATTCAATAAAAGTAGATTGGTACCTTCTTAACTACAGGTGAAGCTTAATAAATAAAACTCGCGAATGTTATAAAATGAATTTATTATCTACTATACGTCATACTTATTTTAATGATATCCATTTAAAATAAAACATATTTAAATATAGGAAATCTCGTCACATAATCCTAATAGTAATAATAAAAAATGCGAAAAATATGTAAAGTAATATTTCTATGGAACATACGTGTTCAACAAAAGATAATAATACTATTTTAATTTACTCGTAGACAGTCGTTTAATATTTTACAGGTAGTGATGTTTCAAAGGCACAGTTGATCGTCACTATCCTCTTGACCCGAACGCAAGTTTCGACCTTATTGCACTTGATTAGCAAATTGATGAAATTGATATGAACTAACTATTGAGATCTTCGGGTTGCTGAGGACAACGCGTGCGGCCGCGCCTGAACCCGAGGGCGTGAGTTTACATCAAACGCGGTCACTAACGAGCGCGTTAACAAAATATATGAAGATTTTAGTTCTTGAAAGTTTCCGCTAGGGTAATGTCACTTTTTTACGCAGTCGATATCGAATGCTTTTGACGTAAACTCACACTACCCCCCGCCCGGCCAGTGTGTGCTAGAGGCGACTCACAGAACGTAAGCCTTGTTCACACTAGTCGGCTGACGTCATCTGCTGTTATCCGCTTTGCAATGGAGGGAAGTCGAACCTCAATTTCGAACTCCTCCAATGTTCTTCTGATTAATTTCGTTGCGGGTCCAATGACAGTTTAACTTTCCCTCGGGACAAACTTGACCTTCATTGGTTGGGTTTTTGTGGCGGTCAAGCTGTAGATCCTGGCTACACAGGAGTTGCAGTGGTGGGAATAGTCCCGTTAGTCGGCTGACGTAGGGCGCGGGCTGCTTGAGGTGCACGGTGAGCACGTGCAGCTGGCGGCTGTCGGCCTGGCCTCGCCTACAGTCGGCGCGAGTGCCGACAGCCGGCGCTAGTAGAGCGGCTTGTCGGCGGGCTTGCCCTTGCCGCGCGGCTGACGTAGGGCGCGGGCAGCTGGCGGCTGTCGGCCTGGCCTCGCCTACAGCCGGCACTAGTAGAGTGGCTTGTCGGCGGGCTTTCCCTTGCCGCGTTGCAGGCGCGCGCGGCTGACGTAGGGCGCGGGCTGCTTGAGGTGCACGGTGAGCACGTGAAGCTTGCGGCTGTTGGACTGGCCGAACCCTTTGCCGCAGACTTCGCACTCGTACGGCTTCTCGCCTGTGTGGATCTGAAACAGAGATATAACTTTTACGACATTGAAATTTGGCCCCCATTTCTCACTAGACATTCTGAGTAAGTGCCCAGGGCCCCGCAATCAACAGTAAATGAGCTGCTACACTGGCAGATTGACGTCTCCGCCGCGTCGCCGCTCCACTTTGAAACCCGTTTGTAATCCGCCAGTGTGGCAAGGCCCTAACTTTTGAATACATATTCATATTGACATTTTTATTTATTTTATTTTTTATTTTATTTATTAGGACAACCAACAAGACAAACACGCATACATGGAATTACTATAACCAAAAGTTTTTGAAACGTTTTTTCAATTTGCAAATTCCTTTTTCAGGGACTCCTTACTGCGTAAATCTTTGAAGATCTACAAAGTGCTGGCGTCGCGTCGTCCATTTTCACACTTTTCTCTATTTTTGAGGTTAAGCATACTGAGTTTCGTATGGGTCGCACGACTCGTGTCGCGAAGATTCGTAAGTAGCTGTCGACCTGCGACCGGTTGCCTGTCGCGGTCTCGAGTCGCGGTCTCGCGTCGCGGTCGTCTTGATCCGAATGCTACCTTTAGAAAAAAGTTCAATGAAGTCTAAAGGTAGCATTCGGATCAAGACGACCGCGACGCGAGACTGCGACTCGAGACCGCGACCGGCGACCGCGACCCACTGCTTTATATGAATTAATAGGAAGTGCTGACGGATGCAAGCAACCGAGTCGCGCGACGTGTGGGCGTGGCCTGCCGGCTACCTACTTGCGTCGCGCGACTCGGTCGCTCACAAGGCAGTGCCGTGACGCGACAGATGCAAAATGGCCGTGTTTTCTGCGCACGAAGTAAGTTTCGTATGGGTCGCACGACTCGTGTCACGAAGATTCGTAAGTAGCTGTCGCCCTGCGAGCTGCGACCGGTTGCCTGTCGCGGTCTCGGGTCGCGGTTTCTCGTCGCGGTGGTCTTGATCCGAATGCCATCTTAAGGATAACAGTGACGTCAACATAGCTGATGTAATTTTCGGCGCTACACTATTGTTCTATTTATACAAGACCCAGTGAAAAAAATGACTTTTATTCTTATTAAAGGGAGATGGCGTTGCTTGCCAATAGTTACCCTGAAATGCCGCACGAGAGCGCTGTTGTCCTTGAACGCCTTGGAGCAGACAGAGCAGGGGAAAGGCCGGGCATCGGCGAGTTTCCTCTCGTGCATCTGTAGGACGAGGACAATTACCCTGGCTGGCCCATCTAGGAGATTACCCTGGCTGTCCTTGGGAGTCTGACGTGGTATACTAACCAACTACACATCACTGGCTGTTGCAAGCTGGAATCTATTACAACTGCATAGATGCCAGCGTTTGATGTGCTGCTGTTTGAGAAACATGTGTACCGCTTTCATTTCCAATGTAACGGTGGTAAAAGAGAGGCAGTAGTCGGGCTAGCCTGACGTTTTTAGCCCCAGTTACTTGTTAGGCGGCAATCACAACACATAATTAGAAATAAACAATGTGCTTAATATATTCAGCACAATGAACCTATTTTTTTTTTAAATAAACAGCTTGAAAACCCACGCTTTCGCTTGCCGGGCGACTGCTCTCCCAACTGAGCTACTTAGACACTGGATGAACCAGTCGAAATTTTCAAGTGTAATACGCTGTTATGGCCGCGTTTTTTATTTCATCAATGTTGGGTAGTAACAACCCGATTACAATGAACCTAATGTAAATAAAATCCAGTCAAAATATACAGACAATATGCTTTTGTATGCGGATACAGTGCAGTTCCGTCTATTATGATAAAAATACTTCGTCTCGGTTGCAGTACAGCGTAGCGAAAGAATTTATTTGGAAACGACTGGCTGACCCGGTCCTGAATAAATTCATGCTACTAATTTACATATTTTAAATTAATATTGACAATGAAAGCGGTACTATGTTTATCAAACGGAGTTAAAATGAACCACGATAACCTCCGGTATGGGGCCAGGCCAAATACAAGTAGATGATATGGATAGTTACAATAGAAATTATGAATTAATTTGCGAAATAAATGATGCTCAATGAACGGTGAGACACATGTTTTTGAGTAGTGATCTAAAGCGGTAAATATACTAAACGTGTGTACATTTCAGTAATGTTATATTATTTTTCAAGTACGTGTTGTGATTGCCGCGTGGAAAACGTCAGTCTGGCTCGGGTTTAACCACCAGGCCCGGGCCGAAATGGGTGAGCGTTACATTCTTACCGTAGATGTCGTACAAGGCAACCAAGGAAACCTTAATCTTCTTCAATGGAGGGAAGTCGAACCTTAATTTCGAACTCCTCCTATGTTCTTTTGATTAATTTCGTTGCGGGTCCAATGACAGTTTAACTTTCCCCCGGGACAAACTTGATCTTCATTGGTTGGGTTTTTGTGGCGGTCAAGCTGTAGATCCTGGCTACACAGGAGTTGCAGTGGTGGGAACGAGAGGTGGGAATAGTCCCGTTTAATCTTCTTCAACCCTTCTGCCCAGCGGAGTGTGGGGAATGTAGGCTTAGTCTTCGATTTGTCTCTGGTAAATTCGATAGGACGACCTGCATTGGAGACTCATGACCTGGTGACCTTGAAGTGGCTGTCTAGGGCGTCCTTGGCCTTAGAGGTCTCGAAGCAGACGGAGCAACCGGTTGCTTATTGTACACTTGCAACGCGATTGTGAAAAATATTGGAGACTAGCGACACCTGTAATTTAACGCTGCGCTGTAATTGGTTGGCGTAGCAGTCGCGTTGCTATTGTACAACTAGCAACTGGTTGCTAATATTATAGATACGCATGCGAGTGCGTTTGGTTGCGACTCAGTGTCGTGTAGTTACCCTAAAGTGGCGGTCCAGGGCGCCCTTGGCCTTGAAGGCCTTGAAGCAAACGGAGCAAGGTAAGAGCGCAGCTTGGATGCGTAGTGCCTGCTCAGTGTCATGTCAGTATAGTTACCCTAAAGTGGCGGTCCAGGGCGCCCTTGGCCTTAAAGGCCTTGAAGCAGACGGAGCATGGATAGGGTCGCGTGTCGGAGTGCGTCTTCTCATGCAGCTGGAGGTTGGTGCGATTGTAGAAGGCCTTCGGGCACTGCGCACACTTGTACATGCGCTCTTCGGAGTGCGTCCGCTTGTGGTATGTTAGGAATGCGTTGCCCTGCGAAAGGGTTACGTGATAGTGAGAACAACAGTCGACAGCACATCAGAATATAGGTTTTTGCAGGACTACGGCCCGATTTTTTCGCCTGAATTAGTAGTGGTGTATGGTTTATAATGAAAGTGTGCACATGCATCGGACATAGGGATATCCGTTTTTTGACGGTCCGTTGTCCGGTGAAAAACGGATGTCTACGAACGGCCTTAAGTCACAAATATCCCATAACATGCAACGCCCACTACTCGTTTTGGGTGATTAACACCATTGAATACACAACTTCTCCAAAACTACCTACACAAAATTCTTGCCCTGAAAATGACTTAGATCGTCAATTCGCCCACAAGGTGGACCAACGACCTCATAAAGGTATCAGGAAGGCACTAAATGCAGGCCGCTACCAACCGAACGATGTGTAAATCATTGAAATGATTATGATGAGTCAATTCAGTTGGCGAAAAAAGTAATGACGTCACGTTACATCTTGTGTTTGCTATAAAAATACATATGAAATAATCGTGATTCTTTTTACAGCTTATAAAGACTGGCATTGGGTCACATACCCGGAAGCTCTTCCCGCAGATATCGCAGACGTAGTTCTTCTGGATGGGGTATGGTTGGTCGGGGTGCACGCGCCTGAAGTGCGACCAGTAGTCCCGCGCGTTCTCTATCGTCTCCGGGCACTGTTGGCAGAATGAGTTCAAATTCATTTATTTTGCAGGCTTATAAAGCTTTTTTTCCCCGTCCCAGTATTACTTAACCCTACTACTGCTTTGATTCGAGTGAATAACTAACCAATTTTCAACTCCAGCGCGTCTATAATAATTTTTTTCCCCGTCCCAGTATTACTTAACCCTACTACTGCTTTGATTCGAGTGAATAACTAACCAATTTTCAACTCCAGCGCGTCTATAATAATAATAATAATAATAATAATATGTCACCTGCCAATGTCATGTCTTGTTTGTAAATTTTCCTGAATAATTTTATGGAAATATGGAAATCTAATTGTTATAATCTTATCTAAATCGTATTATTTCTTAATTTATTTATGTTTGTGCAAAATAATAGTGTTATCAAACAGACTGAATCGTGTTTGTGTAATAGGCACGATGGATCAGAGAAATGTCATACCTCCGAATCGAGCTGCATAAATAGTGATAATATTATGTTAGCGACAGCTTTACTGCAAGAAAAGCTGGCGAGGAGAAATGAAAATATGAAGAATATAACTTTGGTTGAATACATGAATGTCGGAAAAATGTATTTCGTCAACTGCATCAACGACATGGACGTTGCCTTGGCAGGCAGCACATTATGATTCTACGCGCACGCCCACCACCCCCTCCGGTCCTATCCTCGTCATCGTCTCCGCGCTCCTCGTCGGGCGAAGAGTTTGTAACTCCTCCTAACACGAGCGCGTCGAGCGACGAGGGCGGGCCAACGACGCCGCCGCCGCCACCACGACCTGCGCGACGGGGACGTCCGCCGCTGCCGGCACGCTTGGGGTCAGCGAGGCAACCTGCCTCGCGCACGGCCCCCGCTACCGGTGGTGTAGTGCGCCGCATGCGATGGACTCAAACCATGAATGAGAACTGCATGCGCGCCTATTATGGGGCTACAGAAGGGGGAACCGTCCTGACTGCGTATCGTGATCGGATCCTGCCTTTGTTTCAGAACCTTGAGCCGACCATCACCGTTTCTGCACAACGACTGTCGGATCAAGTGCGGGCTATTCAACGGTGCAAGCTGTTGGACCAGTCTGTACTTGATCGACTCCGCCTGGAGGCGATGCCTGCTCGGACAACTCCCCTCTTGACGTCGGAGCCCCCTGCCTCGTCGTCGCCTACGGTGTCGTCATCGACACCACAAGCGGCGAGGGTAGACTCTGGTGGTGAAGAGGAGGGTTTGCCGAGTAGTGTAAGTAACCAGGTGAGTGAGCGATTGAGGAGGGCTTTGGAGGACACTATTGGTCAGTATCGGTTCACGTCAGATTCAAGGCCTCGACTACCGCGTTTGCCCACTCATAGACGTAATTTGGCGTTAATGGGAGCTCTGAATGCATTGCTAATTCCGTATATGCGGACTAGCACAAATTTATTTGATACCCACTCGATCCTGTATTGTGGTGCCATTGCGGTTTGTCGTGTTGCTGGTGTCCAGTTCCCAGACTCGGACAGAGCAACGCGTCCTGCCGGAATGGCACCCGCGTGGCAAATACGGATCGAGCGGCGTATTAATGCATTCAGAACTCTCATTGCAAAGCTAATTTGTTTTAGACGGGGAAATAATCGTCCCCGAGTCATGCGGTTTGTGGCGCAAGCCTTTGCTGGGACTGGCGTTCTACCTCAGGACTACATGACTTGTGTCACAGAACGCATTGACTACCTAAAGCAAAAAGTCTATGCATGGGCAAACCGTATTCGTCGCTATAAAGAACGCGTGAACAGATACTGGCAAAATCGCGTCTTCCAAAGTGACCAGAGGAGGGTGTACCGGGGATGGGAGGGATCTGATCAACGTGTGAGCAACGGGCAGCTGCCAGATGTCAATACCATGATTGATTTCTGGCGTGGCATTTGGTCGATGCCCGTTGAACATACGGAGGGTGATTGGATGCGTGTAATTGAGCGTGAATGTGAGTCCATCGAATCTATGGGGTCTATTGTTATAGACCCCGAAGACGTTAGTAGTGCAATCAGTACGGCCCAGAACTGGAAGAGCCCTGGACCGGACGGATTGCACAACTTTTGGATTAAATGGATTCGATGCTCACATGACCGCTTAGCAACACAATTTCAAGAAGCCCTCGAGCTCGGGTCCCTTCCAGCCTTCATGACTACCGGTGTCACCACCTTGCTCTACAAATCTGGTAGTACCATGGACCCAAAAAATTACAGACCAATCACATGCTTGCCTACCATCTACAAGCTCCTTACATCTATTCTGACCACAAAAATTAACACACATATTGTCGCGAACAATATTTTGGCCCCTGCTCAGAATGGATGTAAGGTTGGGTCTCGTGGTACTAAAGAGCTCCTCCTCATAGACATGACCATTAGCCAACAAGTTCGGCGGAGCAGGAAAGCTCTCTCTGCTGCCTGGATTGACTATAAGAAGGCCTATGATTCGGTGCCTCATTCATGGCTGGAGAGGATTTTAGAGTTGTATAAGGTTGATGCAACTCTGAGATCCTTTTTACGCTCATGCATGGGGCAGTGGACTACAGTCCTTCGGCAGCCAGGTGGTGGTGAGAGGTCTCCTGATCCATTGAACTTCATAAGGATTGAGCGAGGCATTTTCCAGGGTGACAGTTTGAGTCCCTTATGGTTCTGCCTAGCACTGAATCCTCTTAGCACTCTGTTAAAGGATTCAGGGCTTGGTTATCGGCTTCGAAGAGGGGGTGAGGTCATTAGTCACCTGCTCTACATGGATGATCTCAAGTTGTTTGCACCAAAACGACAAGACCTGGTGAAGTTGCTAAAAACCACACAGGTATTTAGCAACGCCATCAGGATGGAGTTCGGTGTAGACAAGTGTGCGGTCTTACATGTAGAGCGGGGAAAAGTTGTGAATTCTCCGAATTTACAACTTTCTGAGACAATGACACTCAAATCTCTCTCCGAAACTGAGACCTATAAGTATCTTGGTATGTCAGAATCGTTAGGTATATCGGTAGATGACATCAAAAAATCGGTGAAAGAACGCTTTTGTAGTCGACTGACAAAAGTTCTTAATAGCCTTTTGTCTGGCGGCAACAAAGCAAGAGCTTTCAACGGTTGGGTGATGCCTCTACTAATATACTCCTTCGGCATACTAAGATGGACTCAGACCGAGCTTGACGCCCTGGATAGGAAGGTACGTCAGCAACTTACACAACATCGCATGTTACATCCGCGCTCATCTGTAATGAGACTTTACATTCCACGGAAGTGGGGAGGTCGAGGCTTTCTAAATGCCAAGAACCTCCACAACCGTGAAGTGTGCAGTCTCAGGGATTATTTCCTTACAAATGAGTGCGGAATGCATCGCGATGTTGTGGCAGTTGACAAAGGCCTCACGCCGCTCTCCTTGGCGAACGAGAACTGGCGCAAGCCAAAGGTGCTGAGCGTCGCGGATCGGAAGGACGTATGGAAGAGCAAGGAGCTGCACGGGAGGTTCTATCGGGCCCTAACAGGTCCCGATGTGGACCTCCTCGCCTCGGTGAACTGGCTACGCTTCGGTGACCTCTTCGGGGAAACCGAGGGTTTTGCTTGTGCAATTGCTGACGAGGTAATGATGACGAACAACTACCGAAAATATATCTTGAAGGACGGTACGGTCGACATTTGTCGAGCATGCCACCGTCCCGGAGAGTCACTCAGGCATATAATTTCTGGTTGTTCGCATCTTGCTAACGGTGAGTATTTGCACAGGCATAACCTAGTAGCCAGAATCATCCATCAGCAACTTGCTCTTCAGTACGGCCTTCTTGAATCTGAGTCGCCATATTACCAGTACCAGCCGGTGCCAGTTCTTGAAAATGGTCATGCATTGCTCTATTGGGATCGGTCTATCATCACAGACAGGACTATTGTCTGTAATAAACCTGATATTGTGGTGGTTGATCGATCCCAACGTCGGGCAGTGCTCGTTGACATCACCATCCCGCATGACGAAAACCTCGTGAAGGCCGAGAAGGAAAAACAAAGCAAATACCTTGACTTGGCCCACGAGGTGACCGCCATGTGGGATGTTGACTCGACGATCATTGTCCCGATAGTTGTCTCGGCGAACGGGCTAATAGCGAAGAGCTTCGACCAACATCTAAAGAAGCTCTCGCTAGATGGTTGGCTCAAGGGTCAGATTCAAAAGGCGGTGATCCTCAGCACGGCACGCATTGTCCGGAGGTTCCTCAGCCTGTGACCCTGACCACCGGTAGCTTGGGCCCTGCTCCGCTACCAGCGGATTAACTATTTTTAAGAATTTTTTTTATAATGTATTTTTAGTTTTTTTATAATTTACATTGTAAAAAAAATATTAAAAATAAGAAGGAAATTAAATAAAGAGATAATAATAAAACAGGGTCGCTTAAAAATTAGGGATTGATGGTGAAAACGGGCATAAGTATCGGCCATATTTTTATAGCAAATAGTCACAGTAAGACAAAACCGAAATCTTATCGGGACTCAACCGAATTTAACGACTTGCCAAATTCAATTGCGAACAAACATTTTGAAGTGATTTAAATTTACAACGAGCTTCGATCTGGATTCTAATTGGCCGTCTTTGTTTTACAAACAATACCCTGGATTGTGGCCGATTTCCCTAAATTTAGTGACCGTCATTTTAGAGAATTCGGAGAAAGCCAATCTGTTGTTTAGTCGGTTATAAATAGCACCCATCAACATCTTTAGAGATGAAAAGCGTTGAAGATTGCTTAAGAGATTACAGAGCTTTACGATTTACGATGATTTCTAATTTTGATTCACAAGTCAGTTACCTACTGATACTTACGCCCGTATTCACAAACATTATTATGAGGTCTCACAGTGCCCGTGAACGCACAGGGTCACACGCGGACCAATCAAAGAGCTCTATTCAACGCTGTGCGATTTGCTGCTTCACTTAAGCAAGCAGCGTTTGTGAAAACGGACGTAATTATTTTTGATTCACAGGTCAGTTACAGATACTACTTAGGCAGAGTTGGACCATCTAACTATGACCGTAACTTTAACGATAACCGGTGTTTTTTGTATGGAGTTAGACAGATTTTTGACGTTTGTCAAAGTTAAAATAAGATGGTGCAACCCAGCCATAATGTACCTTTGTGTATTGCTTCCCAGTTGGGCCAAGCAGGCCAAGCATGTAAAAGAAATTAAACTGGGAAATAAACTAGGGTTATTACATCGTTCGTCGCAAGTTTACAACCTACATAAGTAGGAAATAACTTAGAATGCACAGACAACGGCACAATACATCAAGTACCTAAACACCTTCTAATTGAAATAGGTGCTATCTATAAAAATGAATCGCAAAATGTGTTGGTAAGCGCATAACTCAAAAACGCCTGGACCAATTTTACCAAATCTTTTTTTAAACGTTCGTTAAAGTCCAAGGATGGTTTTTACGGGGAGCAAAAATCGAATAATTTCCGTAAAATCCTAAAAACTACCCTTTTTTTCACGCGGGTGAAGTCACGGGCGGAAAGCTAGTTTTACAATAAAAATGTACAGTCTGAAGTCACTACACCACCTCATACTTACTACACATAATCCTTACAGCGAGTATTGCCTCTAAGGCTTATCATATTTTAACCGTGACCAAGTTTATCAATAACCGGTGCTTTATGTATGGAGTTTGACTTTTGACGTTTGTAAAAGTTAAAATAAGATAGTGTAACCCAGCCTAACAGTTACTAGGGTTCTCATCCTTCATCTGCGTGTTTTTAAAGACCAAAATGAAGAAATTTGATTTTTTTAATTCAATGAATCACGCCTGCCTGTAACCAGATCCCTATTGAACGCTCTATTTATTATCTAGTTTTTTCAGCGAATCAAGAGGAAGAAAATATCGTTAACGACAA